ATCACAGAGACGTCGCAACAAGACGGCTGACGCCTAACTCTGTCACGGGGTTTTCAAAACTCACTCAGTGACACATAAGTTGGGACAACTCTCTAAAAGGGTCTTACCACGGGCAAAGTATTTACATAGAAGTGTAATTACATGAACATTGGATACTGAATAAATAATGATAATAATACTTTTATTTATATATACGGTCTAGTTTCAAAGGGATCTAGGAGGTGTCTGAGTATTTGAAGCAATACAATCTGTCCGTTCCCACAGATAAATAACAGTCTTCACAGAATATCGAATACTTACAAATTTCGTTAGTAGCGATTCGAACTTACAAAAACCTGTTTAATGGCAACATTTTCCACAAAACACCGTTTACAGTTTTTACTTTTTGAATGTTTGGAGAATGAACTACCTGCCGAGGATTTTTCGAGAGACGACAGGCCATGCTGTCCGTTTTTTATGAATGGTATATTAAGGTTTCTAAAGAGCCGGCGACGCGCACGTGACATCTAGGTGTTTTGGGTGTACATAGGCTACGGTAACCGTTTATTATTAGGTGGGCTACATACACGTTTGCCAACGTTGTAGTTTAAAAAGATTGAGAGAATTATTACTAGAAGCTGTACCTTAAGTAAGTTGGTCATACACAGTATATTGGCTGCTAACAATGGTATTACCCAAAAAGTATCATAAACAAACGCCGCCACAAGTCGCGACTCGAACTTACAAATGTCTGTTCAATTGCAGAATTTTTTTTAATAGTACCTACGTTGCGTAAAACTTAAATAATAATAATAATAATACACTTGGAAAATTCACACAAATCCATCTAATCCCAAGGTAAGCAGAAATATGCAGGTAGCTTGTGTTATGGGTACTAGACAACTTTTTGTAAATACATGCTATAATAATGTATTATTAAATATTAATAGAATACACCAGACCGACACAAACAATCATACTCATGAATACAACAAATAAGTGTATGATGCCGTGCGAGGAATCTAACTCGCGACTAGACCACCGACACCGACATTGAACCAGTGATAACCACAAGTTCTTCAGACACAAAGTTATCGACTGCGTACCGATGGTAGTGGCTACAAAATCTCGAATACAAACTTCACTCTCACAAGTCGCGACTCGAACTTACAAATGTCTGTTTTATTGCCGACACTTTTTATATAGAACGCCGTGTAAAACTTGCCGCGAGACAAATTTACGTTACGTGATGCGTTTACGTTATTATGGGTAATGTTTGGACAAGGAGAGAATGATAGCACGACCTCAAACGAATGCCGTCGATCTTTGAATGACTTTGTAATAGGGAAATTTTATATTTCAGTAGAAATATCCATTATAGGTAGTTCTTTCTATGTATCCATATCTATGTATTTCTCTACTACTCAATTTTAGATGATTCTATTTTATATGTGTGAAGTAATACATCTACGGACAGCATGCGCTATTATAATTAAATATACAAGTTTTTCAATTACATTATGAAAAATTCTGACTCCTAAAATACAGATATTTATTTCTTACTGACATGGGACATCATAAACTATTGTGTATAATATGTAAAATAAAAAGTACATACTTAGTAAGTATATTTTTTTTTCAGGAGAATAGTTTGTGTCATTGGTATCTTAAGAATTGAATAATGAGAAATATATGCAGTCAATAAAGAATTCAAATTATTTATTATATTTTCTCCTTTTTTGAATGGTAGTCGAGGATCGAACTTCGAACCTCATATAGATATATCAACGTAAATGCGGAGGTCGATATTGTAATGATATAACAATATTGTCTGAATTGTTCACGTCAGTAGCTTATGAGCGTGAAAGTAACTCCAAGTGCCTAATGTTTTCTGAACAAAAGTGTCGATTTGGCAGTTCCGCGTCACTAAACTATCTCCCCTTCAATCTGACTGTAATGGCGGCAATCTGATGAACGACGCCAAATGTTTCCATCTTGAAAACAATGGAAATTCTAGTTCAAAGATTTCTGACATACTGTGAATATTTATCACGGTTTATAAATGTTATAATTAGATAATAAATTTGTTTTCTTAAATAATTCAAATAATCAAAACAACATATCTTTATTTATTTATGTCTGTTACATGCATGTATAATAAGATAGATCATTTTGAATGAAAAAGAACTGACAAGAAACTCTGTCCTATTTTCAAATGCATGACAACTTTATACTAATACCATACTACATACTAAGCGATTTTTTTTTATGAAATTTCTTATATGCGTAATAGTTAAATGCAGCAGGACTGATACTATTCTTATACTGGTTCTAATAGCAATAACTAATTCCGTAGTTCGTACGATGTTACAGATAATTAAAATGAAAAGATAATTTTAATACGAGTTGTATAAAAATTATCTTTTCATCTTAATTAGATTAATTCTTTATCGTATCCTCGTGATACGATAAAAGATTAATCTGAATAAATGTTTCATATGTCACTAATTAATTGAGTTTGTATTAAAATTATCCTTTCTTCTTAATTATCTGTAACATCGTAATACAGTTTAGTGTGAACAATGTGTGTACATATTTCATGAAAACAATTGTGATTATGAAGCCGCATCAAATATCTGCAAAACTCGGGATAGAATAAATAAAAATTTTTAACCGATTTTGAAAATTCTTCTACATATAGAAAGCCATATTATTAGCGAATAACTTAGACTGTAAGTTATTGAATATTTTCTAAAATGACAAATATTTCTCTACGTTGTATCGTACCGGGAAAGTTTGCTTGCATCAGCAAAAGTGAAAACATGGCGCTCTATTACAAAATATAAAATAGTTTATATAAAACACAATTTACAAATTCACAATACAAGTGGTTCTCATCCTTTTACGTTTATACAAACCTGTATTAAGATGAGATAGCTCATCTTCATATTCTTATACCGTAATATTGATAGTAATATTACGATAATAATTTTGTATGGTTTTATTTCCTGGAAGTCCAGACGTTAATAAAAACGTCCCTAAAAGAAATCAGTCGAAAGTCGAACGCAACAAGTTTCAAAATAAGTGGGTAACATTATAAAGTACAAAGAAGTTCTCATACACGTTTGCGTTTCTTTTGTTCTGAAGAGTCACTCATCCATGATCTAGGAGCTCAGATGTTTGCACTTGTCTCACAAGTGTAACAGGCTCGGTACATCAAAAGATATTTGAAAGGTCGGCTGCTTATGTTAGTGAGGGTTTAGTACTTTTATCCTGCAGACATTTGATGGAAATTGAATAACGGCGTCCTATATTACCTGGGTATAGGAAAGCCGTTTTGATTTTGGATGTTCAGTAAGTTATGTTTAATATTAACTGACATGCGCAACTTCGTCTGCGTCACGTATTGGTCGTAGCATGATGTTACAATATACTTTTATGTATACATACTAGCTGTCCCGGCAAACATTGTTTTGCCTTAAAATAAAAAAATAAATTTAGGGGTGGACTACCCCTAACATTTAGGGGGATGAAAAATAGATGTTGGCCGATTCTCAGACCTACTCAATACGCTCACAAAATTTCATGAGAATCGGTCAAGCCGTTTCGGAGGAATATGGGAACAAAAACTGTGACACGAGAATTTTATATATGAGATAACCTGCTATGATACATGGACTATCCAATGCTTAGTATTATTTCAATTCGAACAAACAGTCTCACATTAGCGTTTTCCATCAAACAAATAAATAAACTTTTATAAAATTAAAAATCAACATTTATAGGCATGTGATGAAATATAAATTATTCCATTAATTACTAATTGCAAGAATAATGAAAAAAGTAAGATATTTAAGAACTTAGTTCTAGTCTTAGATAGCAAACTCAGAGGTAAAATAAAATATTATTATATATATAAATATATTGATATTCATATTTTTCTTATGAAATTTCAGAAAATACTGACCAAATGTATTTGTCATCTCTTAAGGTTGACAGACATTTTTTAGATGACAAAAGATTTGAACTCAATTAACTTACTCTATATACTTTTGAACGAATTTCTCGTTATTTAAATAACATCCGTAATCGAGTTGTTACAATTTTTTGTGTTAGGAGTAAAAACAAGTTTTAGGTATTTGTAATATCTGTGGTGCTATTCATATGGATATGGAGCCTACAGATGTTGCCACATTGTTACTACTTGATAAATTATAATGGACGGCCTCGGTGGTCTAGCAGTTTAGCAAATCGCTTTGTATCCGATAATCACGGGTTTGATTACTCGCACAATACAAACATTTGTATTCTAATATCTCAGTGATTTGTATATATATTATGTATGTATTTACAAAAAATAAACTATGTATTAATATCAGTTGTCTAGTACCCATAACCCAAACTCTGCTTACCCTTGGATTGGATGATGTTGTGTGATTCGTACATTATTATTATTATTTATTATAATTTGGTTTGAATCTATTAATGAATATATTTACAGTTGTTATATCTTTGCATGTCAAGTTTATATTTTCCATGAATATTGTGGAGTACATTGTGTGAAATTGTAATGAAATTTCATACATCTGTGTTTATGTCAGGTCGTGAAGTATTTACCATGACAATGGAACCTATCTTTTTCTAAGACCCCTCGAGGCAACGGTGCGAAAATGACAATTTCATTAGATTCACTCATATATACAACCTGCTCAAGTAAACATGCTTTTTTCATTTAAACTAAGTGTTTTTATTTGTTTTATGGATATTTATCTTTAAACGTACGCTTGTTTGCCACTATCGTAGTATAAAAAAAGGTTATTAGAGGATTATATAGTCAAAAATTTGGAGTTTATCTTTGACTACCGACCCGTCCCGCCTTCGCACGGATGCTTTACAAATTTTTAAATTTCTCGACTTGTTCTATAGTATATTACGCACATATAAATACATATAAACTTTTTATACAATTGTCTCTAGACTCTCTAGAATCTTTCTCTATGGCTGAAAACTGCATTAAAATCCGTTGAGTTAAAAGATATAAGCGAACAAACAGCGGCGGCGCCGCGGCGATTTTGTTTTTTACTACGTAAAGATATAATGTCAGTTTTTTATTTGTTAACATTTAGCTTTCGGTAAACAAAAATAAATTTATTTTACTTAACGAGTATATAATTAACACATTTATAAAATAGTTGTACAAAAATGATATCTATGGTAAATGAAAAGTTCTAAGCTCTAGAAATATCGATGACTCGTCTATATAATTTTATCTTAAATGTGACATCGGTTATGTGCTAGTAAATGAATAAATTTGTTGAATAATAGTCTGCATAAAATTATTATATAAAATTGTATTTAGGAAACTTGTGAAAAATAACAATTATATAAACGAATGTAATGGAAAATAACATGTTATAATATAGTTAGCATCAGTTCAAGTAGGCATATTTTATATTTACAATACTTAATCTCATATCACTATCTAATCTTTTATACATATAATAACAGTATAAGATTTGGTAATCTAATTCTTAGTAAACTTGGTAGTCTCTAAATTTGAAAAAGCAATAAAACTTAAAAGTTTGGTTTATAATGTAAAATTATAACAGATACAAGTTAATTTTGAAGTGTTAAATGCAGAACTATGAACGTATTCAGATCAGAGTGTCATAGCATTAAAAATAGTGTTGTGTCATTAAAGAGTACAATTTACAATGTGTTGGTAATTACAAGATACAGATTGTTGGTCCCAAACGAGGTTACCTGGACATTGAAATCTTTTAGGTTCTAAAACACCGTTGACGTCAACGCAGATAAAGAATGATGTACAACTTTCTGGATCTGCAGCGAAGCCTTCACTTTTGCAAACTGAAGTATTTGGTGCTGTAAAGAAAGTTATGATCATTAATTTAGATTAAAACTTAGATAATAAATTGTTTCTTATTTGTATTATATTATTGTTAAGTTATTGTAAACAAAGCACCCAGATTTCATGATATCCTTGAGTATATTCTTATATACATATATATTTTGATACAATTAAATCTTAAATTAATTGACGGCCACTCTGGCAACAACTGTAGGCTCCATATATGAACAGCACCACAGACATTACAAAATACAGTCTGATCCCCATACATTGACACTAACTAACACTAACTACGGTGACATGCCACTATCTACACTAATATTATAAAAAGGTGAAGTTTGTGAAGTTGTAGTGGGTCTCTAGATCTACTGAACTATAAGATACATAATATCACGGTACGACCAATAGTAGCGGAGTTAGAATGAAAAATGTAGCAAAAACGGGGGATAAATGTGACGCAGACGAAGTTGCGTGGGTCAGCTAGTAACATATGTATAATTTCAATGCAATATCGCACCCTTCACATCTTGCAAAGTTACGACAGAATTGAATAAGATAGATGTACCGACAAAGTATATCTGCAAACTCCTTATGTATTCGAATAAAACGATATTTGAATATAACAGTTACCAGTTACCATTTCAGTTAATTACGATGATGATAAGGTTATTTTAGTTAAGGTTTAAAAAGTGAGATATTACTAATTGCTCTAGATATATTAAAAATTACCTGTAGTAGTTGTTGACCTAGTAGTTGTAGTGCTAGTATATGATACCGTAGTAGACGGAGAGGGACTAGTAGGTATGGTTGAAGGAGTAGTAGATGTGGCTGGTGTACTAGAAGAAGCTGAAGTAGAAGACAGAGCTGGTGTAGACGGCGGAGATGTTGTTGATGTGTTTTCCGGTGTAATATCTTCAGCACTAGCTAGTGCTTTATTAATAGCTCTCAGTAAAGGTAATTCTCCATCTCCACAAACTCCATGACGATCGTCCGTGTCGATACTCCAGACCATGACACCAGCCAGATTTAAGTCTAATGCATATTCGACCTTTGTAGTTAAAGAATCAGCATTGTCGAAAGATAACCAGTTTCTGCCCTGAATAGCATAAGGGACTTTGGCAAGACTATCGTATCTAACATCCCATGGTTGTGTTTGGTGTAAAATACAGTACTGAAACAATTAATAAAAATATTTTATAATTATAGACATTTTAGCAAATTAAAAAAAAATTTAGCTAATTAAAAGTTTGGTTAAAAGCGTCAGAAAAAACCTATTAGCTAAAAACTAAAGCAAGCAAAATATTGCAGTTTGTCTATCTAAAAAAATAATATTCCTGATTTGATTCATGTTGACATGATCCAAATGGTTTTATACTGAATTCACAATTTTCCTGTGTACTTGACAATTACTGCATATGCATGTTTCACCGTAATATTTGTGTTATTTCCTAGCCTTTATTATTATTCAGTTAGTGATTTTTCGATCACATTACTTTTACTTACAGATTTTTATCGATAGATTTGGATTTGACGAAAAAATAGTCATGAAAACTATGGCTAGTTTTTGAGCTATTTTGCAATTCCGTTATCAATATTATAAAATAATAATTACGATAACTTATGAAACATAACACGTGAAAACACTAACTACTCGCCTCGCTTTTTTTTATACTACTATGGTGGCAAACAAACATACGGCCCATCTGATGGTAAATGGTTACCGTAGCTTATGGACGTCTGAAACACCAGGGGTGTCACGTGTGCGTTGCCGACCCTTAATAAACCTTAACATACCCTTCGCTAAACCTCGCTAAAATTTTTGATATGGGAAATTTTATTTTACGATATAAATAATAATTGAAATTATTTTTCAGCGCATAAAAGAAGGAAGTATTTTTGAACAATTTACAATTTGTTATGAATGAATTATGATATTAATCAAAATAACAACAATTACCTCATTGTAACCCATGAAGCCGCTGGTAACTGTGAAAGGTCCACCAATACCGGGTCCAACAGAAGGGGCTCTAACTGAGTTTACATTTGCATTTGCTAGTGTGAAAGTTCGTCCATATAACGGCAGACCAAGTACTAATTTCTCACGTGGACATCCTTAAACATAAAAAGAAAATATATGAAGACAGCGCGTTAAACAACATTGCAGTTGGGGAGAGACAGTTCTACAGACACTTGTGCTATCTGACATGATAAGCATATTTTCAAAATATGTAACTTATAAATTATTATAAGATTTATTTAGGCATGGGCCTGGCATGTGTATGGACACATCACACGTCTTCGTGTGTCACAGCTTCATATGCCATTTTCGATATAAGGTGCACCTTAGTCCTCTTAAACGCATGATAAATACTATGGGCAACAGAATTAGATACGAAAAGATATTCTAAAATAACATTTTAATAAAAAAACAAATTTAAAACCTGATTTACTGAGCAAAGCCAATTACTCTACATTTAGCTGCCATTCTTGACGACTATAATACTACTACCATATTTTAATCATAAATGCAAACCTGATGGATGGCCTTCGGAGTCTGACGGTTTAGCGCACCGCCTTACTTCCGATATCATATGTTCAATTCATCGCAATATATAAACATTTATATTTATGAGTATGATTGTTTTTGCTAGTCTGGGTATTTTCTACACACATATATCACTTTTTTAGTACTCATAACACAAGAGCTGCTTAACTCGGGACTAGATGGCACTATTGCTGGATGGGTTGTTATTATTAATGCTAACCTTCTCGTAGCCAATACTCGATAGCCACGTCGACAGTGAATAGGGTTTCTTTAACAGCGCCTTCATCGCCTTCTCCTTTATGTAAAGGCGCGTTGTGTCCTGTCACTGTATTCCAGGCTCCATACATATCGTATGTCATAACACTTACTATGTCTAAATATCTAGAATAGAGCGGAGAGCATTATTAGTAATGTTATCATTATGTTGACCTTCCACTCTACGCCACGCGGAAACTATCGGGATAAATTTCCGGTAAATTCAATACGATAGGCTGACTGACTTTACTTCATCGTCCATTGATTTAATATCATCCACATTAGGGACATGTATCTTTAGAACTGATCGATGCACCATTCCACATTAACATCCAAAAATATTTTTTCTCCTAATAAAACTAAAATAATGAATATTATCTGACTGTTCACCTGATAGAAAGTGACAACCCTCAACTAATTTGTGCAGGCGTTTTTGCGTTTAATATCTAGTATTAGGTTATCTTATAATTTCTATCAAGTTGATTGTATGAATGGTAAAGTTATTCAATGGTTCTATATATGATTATATCATTAGAATCATAAATCATTAGTTATTATTAACAACTATTATTCCTTTTTAATCTATATAATAAATTATTTCAAATGCTTAGACTTAGAGATTATTTCATATTTATTGTTACCTAAAACGTCAATTGACTCGATTAAATTACTTCGCTCGTATTCAATTTCTATTGAATAGAAACTGAATTAGATTATTAAAATGGGCAACAAAGGTTTAGAATTATCTTAATCTGCTAAAATTCCATTATGGATTATCTAATAAAATAGTTTCATAGATATCTTTGTTTGAGCTAATTTCTAATCGAATATTAAAGAATCTATTAGGATTGTTCTAGTATGTATAAGTAGGTATCGAATTGTGGTAGACACTAAAAGAAATTAATATTAAATGTTGTTTGAGAGTGTTGTGACCTAGAACTAGTTACTACTCCGTTTTACACCCAGAAGGTCGTGAGTTCATATCTGGCAGACATAAAAAATCATGTGTAATTATATGTTATATGTCTGACTAATTCCAATAAAGAAAACAACGACAACAAAAGCAAAAATTAATCTAAGAAACGATCCTGCAACCGAAACAAAGCTTATAAAGCAGGCACCGGGCTGTAATTGGTGTGAGAGATGTATCGACTCGAAGATTTTGTGTACTATACTGTGTCTAGCTTTTACTTACTGTGAAATAGCTGGTATATCATACGAAAGTACTGCCATATGTCCCACTGAAGATACAGCGGCCGTCACAAGGAGACCATACTGAATAAACACCTCTTTTATCTCTTTTAACAGCTGAGTGAAATTGTTGATATCTGCCCGACCATTCACTGTGTCACGCCGGTTAGGATATTCCCAATCGATATCAAAACCATCAAAGCCGTAATCTAGCACAAGTTTAAGTGCACTCTCTATAAAGTTCCGTCGAAAATTAGGACTTGCAGCCATCTGAAAAACACGTTATGCATCTTTGATGTCAAAACATTAAGTACTAAAAGGTCTAGAAAGAATAAATATTACATGACACGAAAATAATTGGAGTGAAACCAACCCTATTGATAGCAAACAAAACATTGAGTCATTGGGAATAGCATTATCACACATATTTATAATAGAAAGTTCGGTACAATAACGGCAATTATAAAAAATGGGAAAACATGAAATTATATTAAATGCATGAAATTGTATGATTAAAAATAATTTTGTGTAAATGAGGTTGAATTACTAATTAATTATTATATTAATTAATAATTAATATAAGAATATACTATGTTATATTATTAATTATTCAACTTTCGCGTTTAGTACATAGGTACATACTATTATTAAAATAGTAAAAAGTCAGCTCGTAAACACGTGTAGTGTAACACGAGAGAGGTAAATACCTTTATTTATCATAAAATTATTCGTGTTAAAACCCCTTTAATTATATTCATATTTTTTTTTGTTTATAATAAATACTACTTACAGATAATTTTTTTTGTCGTTTCTTACTTGATAATTTTAATGATATATGTAATTAGGCATATTTTAAAATAATACATTGTGAAATATTAAATATAATTACTGATGTATTTGATTGAATCAGTGTTGTAATACATAATAAGTGCAATGTTATATTGCGGAAATATAAGGAAATATAAGATAGATATCTTCCTATCTGCCGGATTAGTGTTATCTGCCAATTAGTCGATCAGAGCCTAGACGTTTCTTTTTATTTACTCTGAGATAATAATAAATTCTTGCGAAAAACCCTACTAATGTTTTAGTAGTTTTTACCCGTGACTACGACTGCATGGATCGGATAATGCGTTGACTTGATGAAAAACTACAATATATCTTATTCTATCTTAAGTAATATCTATATTTATTTAAATTATATAACAATTGCTTGAGTCGCCAAGTTTCTTAAAGAAGAAACAACTGCATTCATAATCTCATTTATAATATATAACATACTCTATGTTAGATTACATATTATAAGGATGATGTTAGTAAAATGTTAAAAATTGTAAAAATATTTAGAAATTTCGGTATTACAATATTTGCTAATCAATAAGACTTAAACAATTGGATGGGTTTGAATGAATTTTTTATATATACATACGTATATGGTATAATTAGAAAATAAAGCCCCAGATTTATGAAGATTATTTATAATCTTGATAAATAATTGGTTTAAATATAGACATTGTAGACTATTTAATGAATAATGAAGATTATTGCAATTAGGCCTTCTACATTAGCGGTAATATATTTATCTCTAATTGGAATAGCAAATAAGCTAACGGCCCACCTGACGTTAATTTGTTTTAATGGATGATAACGGAATGGTGCACTCGCCTGCATTAACCAATTACGTTGGCTGGGACACCAGTGGAGGATGAGAAAATGAGCATGCATCAAGTCCCTCATGCGTCCGTACGTCAAGTCAGTTCGTCGTGACAAATTTATGAATTTATCCGAGGTTTTCAAGGTATCCAGGGGGAACTGCATAGAGGTTAACCTGACATGGTACACTGCTATAAGGTCATCAGTCCACATTACTAACAATTCTTTCCCCCCTCTGATAGTAATTGGTAACCGCCGCTTAGAACAGCACTACGACTGATTATTGTGTGACTCCAATATTGCCACTCATTAGGTTTTATTCCATAGGACTAAGATGTCATGCCTCTAATCCTGTAATTTTCTATAAACTATCCATGCATTGGAGCATAGATTTGTAAAACAGAGTGCCTTAAGTATCGGCAAAGCGCACAATACCTTTAGTAATTGAAAGTTATGTTATTATGGTAACTGTTCACCATCAGATTTCTCACTATTGTGGTATAAATATGTTAGCATGTGGATGTTTAAGTGTTGATGTATTTAAAAGCTAATTAATATATATAGTATTTATGTAAATAATGTTTTCTTAATTATTAGTGTTTCAGGTAAATTTTGAAATTTACGTAAATACTTACTATAGAATATTTAGCAGAACCTTCACTCCAGCCGCCGACCGCTAAAATAGTTTTTAATTTAGGATTCCTTAGTTTTAAGGCGTTAAATCTTCTGAAGTTGTCTGTAAATAATTTTAACTTATTTATTTAACTTTAATGTTCACAATACAAGCTAATATTTTATTTTGCGAACTTAACTTCATGGTGCATTCTCTGGGATACCTATGGTCACTGACCATAAGTGAAGAGAGAGAATTATTGAATAACAAAGTTTCAGTAAAATATAAACAAAACTTACAATATATGTGTGCCTATAAGACATGTAATATGTATACTACAAAAATAGATAAACAAATTTATATTATACATATACAAGTACATAAAATACAGAAATGTGTATAAAATAGTCTGACAGTCACGTATAGAGAGTAAAAGAGAAAAATGATCAAAAGAGAAGAAATTAAAAGCATTTCAGTAATTAATTCTATAGAAACAATAAAAAAGCAAAATTTTTCAGGTAGTTTATTTTTTCTATAAGTACAAATTTATTGAAACAGGATAGTCTAAATCTAAATAGGATTAGCATTAAATTAAAAAAAAAACAGTTTTTAAGAAATTGTAAATAATACCGATTTTTTTTAAACTTTAAGGAACGACTTAGTAATAATAACAATTTACGATGGATATATTTTCAACTTTATTTGTATTGTTCTCTTACCTCTTCCATTATTTTCTGCATAGTCGAGCCGAGGATCCAAGGAGATGACAGTGCCTTGGTTGTTTATTCCAACAAATGAATATATCAAGTGTGTACATAACTCTGTATTTATGTCCTCTACCTCAAGCTTGCCCAGACCACTACTGTAACTTGCCCATGACCCGTAATAACATAGAAATAGTTCTGAAAATAATTTTTACTTGATAAATCAGATTGATACAATGAGGGTAACACTGTTATGACATAATTAGAAAGGGTCGTAGTCCATTTATATAAACAACACTTAATGTATTATGTGGTTGTGCGTATATGTAACATATAAATATATGTATAGCCGTTTTTTTTTTTGTAAAAAACATGTTTTGTTATAATATAAGATAAGTTTCTACATTTAGTGGTCGCACTTGCAAGTATCTATGCACCGATTGTAGTTGGACCATACGATGTGACGCATTCATTGCCTCAACGATACGATTTATTTTATTTTTAAGTATACCCTACATTTGTCTTATTTTTTCGTTCACCTCTAAAGAATCGTATAGCATGTTATCTTTAGGTGGGCAATGGTGTCTGAGATACAGGCTAGGCCTAGTTTAGACACTACTGCACTGGACTTGATATTAAATAGTTAAGAACTATTGTATATATATGAATTAATATAGATATATAACCTTAGTTAAGTCCCTTTTGTATTTGTTTTTTTGCACAATAAAGTTATTATTATTATTATTATTATTATTATTATTATTTATTTACTACCGCTGTTGAGACGGAATGGATGTGGGATCAAATGTTACCGACACAAAAAAATATTGTGTTGATACACAATTTTTTTTATATCTACCTATCCGATGATGTAAACACAAATAACAATCCATATTAATCTGAGAGACGGCGGTAGGTTTACCGCCTGTCACTGTTAATTGTTTACATATGTAGAAATATAAAAAACTAAATTAAATTTCATAAAAGAATAAACAAAGCTTAAAACCTACATAGCTGGCCATATATGTGCTTATATTATTTAATATAACATTTAATACTGCATTACATTTAATACTGATTATATGCAAATTTTGATTGAATTTCAATTCAATAATCACTATCACAAGTCACTATATAAATTCGAAATTTATGTCGACCATCACAAAAATTAAAACGAAATTTTAACAAATAATCACTTACTTTCACTGAACACAACGTTATTTGCGCTAAAAGCAAATAGCAATAATATTATAATATTATTTTTATTCATTGTTTATTAATCACAACAATACTTTGGAATAGAATAGTTGTAAACATTCACTGCCTCATAATAAATAGTTACACGTTTATAAAGGAAATGTTATCAGCCATAGACATATTCTGAATCTTAGCAATATTGATAACAGTTTCAAATACTCGTTAGGATTAACACTAGGAACGTAATATGGGTTCTGTCAGTATGTAAACATTATTTAAATATTAAATAACAGATTTAAATGATTCATTCTTATTTAACCACTGTTTAATGTTTTTTATACTACAATGGTGGTAAACAAGTATATGGTGTTTCTAGTAGTAAAAGATTACAGTTTCCTGTGGACGCCTGAAACACCAGGAGTGTCACGTGTATTTTGCCTACTTTTAAAGTTTTCCTCGACACGTGCTACTATGAAATAACTAATTAAAATCGATTAAATTTGACCAGAAAGTAATAATATCAACGATTCAATAAAATTTCTTTAAGCTTGTTTTTGATTACACGTAACTGAAAATCTCGATTTTCACCAAATACGGACATATATTTAGCTTATCTGTATGAAACAAAATAGTATCCAAAATAGCAAGCAAGCAAGCAGTATAAGAAAATATAAGACATTGAAATAATATTAAATTTTCATATTTATATTTATTGCCCTAATAGAGTAAGCGAAACCAAAATATTTACGGCAAAAACTCGATTGAACGTATTGCTATAGCGCTTTGATGAAAGGAGACGCAAGGTCTCTAAATAGAGATGGAACGAAGACTGATGAATACCTCGTTAATTTATTATATGAACATGTGTGTTTGTTAAGAGGACTCTCTTGATAAACCTTAATATATTCTTCCTGAAAATCCAAAAGCTTCCCAAAACCTCGGCAGGTAATTCATTTCACTTCAATAGTGCTACGTTTAAGTCTGCTTCAGGAACTCGTCTTCAGCTTTAGGCACAGTAGCGTATCTGGAAAATATAAATAAATTAATTTAATCCTCTATTAAATATTCGATTGGTCATAATTTAACCGGAAACTTAATGTAAAATCGTTCGCGTACTTGATGACTGTTTCACCTTCCAGTCTCTAAACCCATTGCTGCGTTTCTATTGAGGAATGCGATATGGTGGTTATGGGGTACATGACGTTAGGCTTCGGGAATGACAACGCATGAGGAGTAACGCGGAAATTACGTTACCTTTGGTGCTGTTTATATATGCTTTTACTCAATTTGTTCTTAATTCAAGTTTTAATTTATTGAATAAAGGTAGATATAAAATGTCTTTCAGTATCTTGTTGTAGGATAGCTAGACAATAGGCCTATAAGTAAGTTATATTAAAAAGATATAGTAGATTTAGGTAACATCATATAGAGGCCCTTTTCTACTAGAATGCGTTCATTATATCGTAATGAATAGTAATCTATAAGCGGCTTATAATAGATTAATTGGGGCATGAATGAATTATTTTTTGTATATAAATTTAATTGACATCATTAAGCCTTTTGTTCTGGTGTTATCGAATAATAGAGATAGTTTTGCAATATTTACAGTATGATGATGATAGTATATGTTCTAAATAATGTCTGCTAAGGAGCACCCCCTGTGTTACTGTAGGTTCCAGAAGTAAATCTTGAAACAATTGTGAAAATGTTATCAAATTTACATTGCGTAGTTATAAAATAAGCGGATAAACATATTACGAAAATGAGCACTTATTTAATTTTAGTAATTAATGTTAATTTAGGTAAATAGATTATCTTCATCGCCAAATCTATCTAGAACCTAGTTTTTATATATGTGTATATAGCATTTGTTTTTTTAATAATATTGTCCTGTTTTTGTTCATATTTTTTGTGTCATACAGATAAACGTAATAATAATAATGATTCCTCCATAAATCGAATGTTCGCAGATATATATTATTACACCTATTTAATAATCAGATAAGTTGTTACGCAATTTCTTAAAATTATAACAGTATTGATATATATATGAGTAAATTACAGGTAATGTTTTATTATGAAAATATTTTCTGTTACACTAGCAATAAAATGTTAAACATTAATTAATACCCGCCTCGGTTTCGGACGGATGCGTAAATAAAGAAATTGGGACAATGATTTCATCTCAATCTTCATTACATAGTTAAATAATATATAAGTAAAATAATGTTAATAAAACAAAGTTGCTGTCGCTGTCTGTCCCTGTATGCTTAAATCTTTAAAAATAAGCAACGGATTTTGAAGAGATTTTTTTTAATAGATAGAAAAGAAGAAGTTTTCAAAGTGTCAAGAAGAAGGTTTATATATATAATACATGTACGTACGCCCATGCGAAGCCGGCTTCGCACGGGTGTCATTATTAATATTATAAACGCGAAAGTTTGTGTATGGATGTTTGTTACTCTTATAAGCAAAAACTACTGAACGGAGTTTGATGAAACTTTACAGTATACATCAGAATAACATATATGCTATAAATTTCGCGCGGGCGAAGCCGCGGGCACAGCTAGTTTATTCATATATATATTTCCTAATTTTCATAACTTGTTTTGACAATTACAAACACAACTATAAAATAATAAGTCAAATATGTAGATGCAGCCGTTCTTTAGTTGCTTTTATATATATTAGGCAACTAGTTTTATCGAGGTAGAATCCTCACCCTATTATTATTAGTAATAAAAACAAGTGGATCCATTGCTAGCAATGGATCTTGTCAGATTGATCATGCGGTTATCCACATCCGGTGAGGTAACTGAACTCAATTTGTCCTCGTCATAACATCCGTCGCTGCTGCTCCGCCGGCGCATATCGCTAACGCAGGCGGGTGCACCATTCCATCATCATACAAAAGAAAACAGTTGCAGCCAGTCAGCAGTCGTACTCTAACATACATATTCGGCAATTGAATTTTATTTACATAAATCTACATACAAAATTCGTATAAATTAATCCAACAAAAAACGGAGTTTTATCTAAGTGTATATTACAAAACTTTTTGTTTACAAGAATACAGTTATCATAATCTCTTTATTTTAGGGTCGTGCCGAAATAAAGTTTACTTAACATGACAGCATGACAGTCTTATTTAGGCCGCCTTATATATATATCTACGGCAAACAATGAAATGAGATATTTCGTAACAAAGGGTTTTTTATTCATATGTAAGTATAAATTAGTTAATATAGAGGTACTCAGGTTTCCGCACAATATTTGAGGTCTCACACGTGCTAATAGTATACAGAATTGAACAAAATAATATAAATCCATTCAATAAACATAATTATTATTATATTCACAGATACAAATATATATTTTTAACAAAATTAAACTAAAAATATCATGGTACAAATCTGATATGAAGATATAAGTAGATAGAAATCATACTTTAATATACCTACTAAAATTTGCATGCTTACAGTGCTGAGTGGTATTTCACTAATTAAGTATCTCGATGCATATAGTGTTGCGAGCAGCTTGTCCATTAAATACATGTATTACTTTGATTGATAGCCACAATTATATGTCAGTTTTGATTGTCTTACGAGCCCTCTTGGGAAAAATTACATGTTCAATTATTCCTGTTTTTTATTCAATGATCGTGTTGTGATCCCTATTCAGATATATAGTTTAATTATAAAATAAAGCTAACATCTAATTACGGTATGCTAGAATGCGTAGCTGTACTTCACTAATATTAAAAGTATAAGGTACGGAGATGCATGCTCAATTCCTGTGGTACAATAATAATAATAAATTTGGGTAATTCACAAAGTGCCATCTAGACTCAAGATATGCAGAGTTAGTGTTATGGGTACTAGACAACTTTTAGAAACACTTAAATACATACATAATGTGTTGCGGTCTATCCTGTACGAGTATATTCTATTTTCAAATACATTTAAGTATTTGAAAATAGAACTTCGATAAACTCAAAGTGCAAGCTGCCAGATTTAAATTTCGTCCCGTAATCCAGATGTGTTTTCGGATGAGAGAAAATTGAATTTTTAAACTCATACAGGCTTTCATGTTGGGTACATGTTCTAGTTTTATTTGCGTAAACACTTCGGTAATAATTTAGCCGGTCCGACGTTATACGGCGGCCGTTCAAATAAAAGTCGAAAAAATATTTCCCTGTACTCGCCACATGCGTTTTTCCAGCCTATGAAGTGGATGGTCAGAACTATCGGCACTACTATATAATAATATTATTCTCGCAAAACCATCAACATAGAAAGTTTTCTAACCTTTATTGAGAAGAATAACTACAAAGTTTCTTGCCATATGAAAGGAAAAACAGACATTGTGCTATGTATGTAACTATTTAGTTTGTTAATAAAGAGTGCTGCGCCGTGCATCATTCTTTAGCTCTCCGATCGATTCCACGTCCAATTCAAATAGAGATCGAAATTACGACGGCCTGAGCCGAGGTTCGAACCCCTAGCGGTAACCCCTCCATAAGTCCTTCCGTGAGTTTGGAGTGCCATCTGCACTCGCCTCCTATCATCCATTGAAGCTGTAAAGGCCAGCTGCGGTCAACAACATAATACTTTCTGTAATAAAACAGCTTCATTACAGTGAAGTCATTTACGTTACCTTCCAGTACTTAGCCATAGACATAACACATTGATTCTTTCCTTTGAATCTTATCTCAAAAGATTGTTTGCTTTTTTTTTCAAGAATTACTGTAAAAGTCTTGAAGTATTCACCTTCAGTCTCTGCTATTTCAGCCGCTAAGAAAGTTGCTTTTGCTTAGAGTCGCATCTAGGTATGCTTAGGTCGTACTTAAACAGTGAAATTACAGAATAAGAGACATGACATCTTAGCCCTCTGGTATGACAATGCATGAGTGGTACGGATGTAATATGATCAAGTGATGTCAATGGCATTGTTCTTTCATATAAGCAACGGTTATCGCTTACCATCAGGTAAGTCATCATCTTGTTTGTCATTCCAAGTACATAAAAAATGTGTAAGCATCATCTATATCTACTATTGGTCGTAGCGTAATATTATATAGACTTTCTTGATAAATGGCCAGGCCAGTAACACTAAAAAAAAAATAATTCTAAACAGGAGCTCCTGAGATTAGCGCGTTCAACCAAACAAACAAACTCGTCTACTTTATAATATTGGTATAGATGTTATCTCGGTTTGTTGAGTTGTTTAATCGCTATAAAGAAAAAGATCAACAAACTTATGTTGATTTTGGCGGTTTTCGTTTATAATATTCGTATTTCTAGCAAAACACAATAAAAACATAAAAAATATCATGATGCTAATTATGTCACTAACTATGAATGTATTTCTTATCTCGAAGTTTATTATTTTCCTGCTTTCTTGCTTGTTGCATATACAAATAGGTAGGTAGGTATTTCACAATATTTATTTTGTTTAACAATAACAAACAAGACTCATCTTCTGTCTCTAAATCTTTAATTTGATCTGTTTACGCTTATTTATATTTAAATCTATTAGGATCTTTATCAGTTTTTATAACATGTGTATTGAGGTCATTAAAATAGAAAGTAGATGTAAATAATTTTACCTGGTTCTCTGTAAGATTTAGTTATATCGATAACACAACCTTTTGTATTTGCGTTCTAAAATTAGATATGTTAGAAAATAGAGTACCTACTCTATGTTTTTAGTGCGTAGTAAATAGTTATTAATGTTGTTTATGATGTGTTGTTGTATGATGTATGTGTACCATTATGTTATACATCAGTCATCATTATAAACGTGAATATGTAATTTGTAATCATGTAGGTATAATCTCATTTGACAGAGTTACAATTGGGTTCTCATGGCATTTTCAAATGAGAATGAGTCAAAAGAGACTTTCATTTCAGTTCTTCTTAGCTCAAACTACATCAGGAACTGATAGCAATTACTTTACCAGACCTGTCTATAGTACGAGGAATCCTATCATACTCTACTGGTGTCTGTCCCGTCAGTATTTATTTATTTAATTTATTCTGAATTGCACAAATAAACTTTTACAAATGGCGAGCTTCTCCACCAAGCTCGCCATTTGTATAACTTTTGAGTATAAACAGAAAGTGTTGCAGGCAATCATGGCGAAAAATAGTGATATACTGTTAGCGCAGTCGGGTACAGCTTGACGACGAGTAACGAGTTTTTTAATCTCGTCACTCACTAAATATTTAAAATAAAATGAAACATTTTGGTTGTGGACTGTACTTTTGTGGCAGTTCTTGTTATTTTTCTTATCTAGAATGTGGTAACTGCCAAATGGATTTTGCGTAGGCATCCAAGTTTAGATCTTTTTGTAGGTATTACCATGGTTTATTAGGCTAACAAGCATATATTTTTTGATTTTTTTTTCAAAATAGAAGTTAAATTCTTTTCATGGAGAAAAATTGTTCGAAATGTACATATGTTGAATAGAGTCCTACTTTACATCAATATTAACTAGAGAACCATTAAAGAGAGAATATGAGAGGATTTCGGATTTCTATTTCTATTTTTTTTATATGAAATACACATATTATGCTCTAGTAACGTAGTCCTAAAAAAGGCAGAATTAAAAAATAGATCAAGTATTTTTTAATTTAATTTTAATTTTAGTATATACTTTTTATTACTTACGTCACGTACGTACTTAAATATAGTAAAATAAGTAATTCTAAATTTGAAACAAATATATATATTTTAGATATAGGTATTAGTTGCTCATTTAAAATAATTAAGTACTTCAATAGTGTTGATGATGCAACAGAAGCCGATGGGCAAACGGCCCTTCCGCGTCCATGAAAAGTGGCACTCAACTTGTACATACAACCATTTACCATATGTTTGTTTGCCGACGTCGTAGTATAAAAAAAATAAAGGAGAATGACATGGACATATTTACTGTACATATTGTCACGCCTTTACCTCTCATGCTTTCTATGCACCAAAGATCCATTCCTTGTAATTCCATACCTCATTTTTTATTTAAATTTGGACATATCAGTTAGTATGTTGGCATCAGAAAGGCGTTGTTAAATTGTGACACCTATACTGAAGAAGGTTTTTTGGAGAACCGCCAAAACGTACTCTGTTTTGGAGAACCGAACAGTCACGTTATGCGGCGATCACAGAGCATATGACAAGAACAGTACTTGACTTGAGTACCCAGCCCAGAAGAGCAGCAGACCCTGTCTCACAAGAATGTCTGTTATTAATAGGGACTAAAAGAACGCCGAATTAACACCCCAAACAACCTAGGCCAGACCGTACTGGTGAAGATTGACAAAACGGGCTGTCCACAAATAAATGGGACTAAGCAAAAGAAGAAGGTGGGCTGTCTGCTTGTTTGCCGTTTCAATTACATAAAAAAACGTACGAAATTTCCCTGTGGTGTAATTTTGATAGTAAAGGTGTTAAAATAATTAAAAAAGTATTGTTAGATAAAAAAACCACAGTTAATAATTTCAGATGAGAATATTTATATATTTCATATTTTTTAGAACGTAGGTATTTAGTAGTCGGTTTTTTTATACTTCTTTATTATAAAATTATATAAAACAGTAAATATACATATTTACAGAATCTAGTACAGAAAATAAACTATGCATGTAATTAGGTAGATGTATATTATGTAGCTTCTTTAATAGTTACTGAACATTTGTATCACACACAGCACATACATATAAATTTATACCAACTTTTGTTTGTAACTACAGAAATAACGAAAAAAATATTAATATTTATAATCATTGAAAAGATATGATATTTAATTATTCTTTTACTATCAAAATTAGGTATAGTGCTAATTTTTATATTAGATTAAACTTGGAAAGTTATCTAATTAAAGATTTATGGAGGAAAAAAGTTGTGAAGAATGTATCAGATTATGACATACCGTATATATAGTCTAGATATACATTTATACTTACATATTCTAGATAAGATTCATATTAGTATTAATAATAAAACGTCTTCAATGATCAAATATGTTATAATAACGTTATATGTATTTTAGCAGAATTTAATCTACTTCATTAATATGTTATTGTACTAGCCGCTTCATAAATTATATATTTGGCATTGTTCATCATCTATTGTCGGTGGAATGTATCTAAATGAGTCGATTATCAGTAAACTTTCGTCATATATCATAGGCATTAGTATAATCTGAAACAAAATGGCAATATTAAAGATTTTTTTTTATAACTTATGATAAGGATTGGAACATTTTTGTAGCTTAACTTTAGGAAAGATAAATAAATTAGAGAAAAGTACCACGAATGCAATAGTATGCCAATATATTTTTTAGGTGATTGGAAAGATAAAAAATCTGTAGGGCCACAAGGTGGTAAGTAGTAACTTCGCCTAGATTAAGGTGTCATGTCAATTCATCAAACTATATTCAACCCTTCTACTGAAAGCAGTTTAAAAATGATGGGTACGATTTAATTTCAATATGTGATAATCAACATCATTTAGCAAAATCATACGATTATTTTAACTGCAACAAGGATGGCATCTTAGTCGTTTTGTCTGAATAAAGTCTCGGGTTTGAAATTGTTCGAGTTAATTTGAGAAATAAAATATATGCTTGAATTGGTTCAGAATTGGATTATACTATTTGTATTCTCAGAATTGGTCTGACTTTAGGTATGATAGTTTCAATTGCAGTAAATATGTTAATATCGATGATCCAATATTATATAATTTATTGATACTTACATTACAAGAATTACATGATGGCCCCGACCAGTAGAACCTAACTGCTGACCATCCACTTGAAAGTCCTGATAACATGGCGCCAAATTGTAGATTAACTCCATCATAAGTTAGAATAGTTAAAATATTACGACCTTGTTCGATGTAGACGTTTATTTCTACAGTGCCATTTTCTACCATATCAAAAGCAAACGTTGATATACAGTTCACAGCTGGTAACAAGGATTCTATTGAATGTGTTAAGTAGGTGTTACTGGCTGGATGTGGTCTGGTTATTAACACTGAGTTATAATTACCCAACGTCCAGTTAGTACCACTGCCATAACACGCTGGATGATCCAAAATGAAGTCTTCAAATCCTTCCTCAAAGTCATGTGTAATGCAAATGTCTGGATGTTCTGTGCATGGTATATCAGTGGTTGTGACAGTTTCTTCAGTTGTGGTGGGCTCTTCAGTTGTAGTATATAATGCTTCAGTGGTGCTAGCTCCAGTTGAAGAAGTACCTACTATTTCTGTTGTGGTAGGTTCCTCGGTCGTTAAAGTGGTTTCCGCTTCAGTTGTGGATGGCTCTTCTGTTGTTGTAGTATATATTACTGGAGTTGTAGTAGGTTCCTCAGATGTAGTAGTGTCAATTGAAGTGGTAATACTAGGTTCCACAGTCGGTAAAGTGGTTTCTGCTTCAGTTGTGGATGGCTCTTCTGTTGTTGTAGTATATATTACTGGAGTTGTAGTAGGTTCCTCAGACGTAGTAATATCAATTGAAGTGGTAGTGCTAGGTGCCACAGTCGGTAAAGTGGTCTCTGCTTCAGTTGTGGATGGCTCTTCTGTTGTTGTAGTATATATTGCTGGAGTTGTAGTAGGTTCCTCAGATGTAGTAGTATCGATTGAAGGGGTAGTACTAGGTTCCTCGGTCGTTAAAGTGGTTTCCGCTTCAGTTGTGGATGGCTCTTCTGTTGTTGTAGTATATATTACTGGAGTTGTAGTAGGTTCCTCAGATGTAGTAGTATCAATTGAAGTGGTAGTGCTATGTTCCACAGTCGGTAAAGTGGTTTCTGCTTCAGTTGTGGATGGCTCTTCTGTTGTTGTAGTATATATTACTGGAGTTGTAGTAGGTTCCTCAGATGTAGTAGTATCAATTGAGGTGGTAGTACTAGGTTCCTCGGTCGTTAAAGTGGTTTCTGCTTCAGTTGTGGATGGCTCTTCTGTTGTTGTAGTATATATTACTGGGGTTGTAGTAGGTTCCAGATGTAGTAGTATCAGATGTAGTAGTATCAATTGAGGTGGTAGTACTAGGTTCCTCGGTCGTTACAGTGGTTTCCGATTCAGTTGTGGATGGCTCTTCTGTTGTTGTAGTATATATCACTGGAGTTGTAGTAGATTCTTCAGATGTAGTAGTATCAATTGAGGTGGTAGTACTAGGTTCCTCGGTCGTTAAAGTGGTTTCCACATCAGTTGTGGATGGCTCTTCTGTTGTTGTAGTATATATTACTGGAGTTGTAGTAGATTCTTCAGATGTAGTAGTATCGATTGAAGTGGTAGTACTAGGTTCCTCGGTCGTTAAAGTGGTTTCTGCTTCAGTTGTGGATGGCTCTTCTGTTGTTGTAGTATATATCACTGGAGTTGTAGTAGATTCTTCAGATGTAGTAGTATCGATTGAAGTGGTAGTACTAGGTTCCTCGGTCGTTAAAGTGGTTTCCATTTCAGTTGTGGATGGCTCTTCTGTTGTTGTAGTATATATCACTGGAGTTGTAGTAGATTCTTCAGATGTAGTAGTATCGATTGAAGTGGTAGTACTAGGTTCCTCGGTCGTTAAAGTGGTTTCTGCTTCAGTTGTGGATGGCTCTTCTGTTGTTGTAGTATATATCACTGGAGTTGTAGTAGATTCTTCAGCTGTAGTAGTATCGATTGATGTGGTAGTACTAGGTTCCTCGGTCGTTAAAGTGGTTTCTGCTTCAGTTGTGGATGGCTCTTCTGTTGTAGTATATATTACTGTAGTTGTAGTAGGTTCCTCAGATGTAGTAGTATCAATTGAAGTGGTAGTACTAGGTTCCTCGGTCGTTAAAGTGGTTTCCACTTCAGTTGTGGATGGCTCTTCTGTTGTTGTAGTATATATCACTGGAGTTGAAGTAGATTCTTCAGATGTAGTAGTATCAATTGAAGTGGTAGTACTAGATTCCTCGGTCGTTACAGTGGTTTCCGCTTCAGTTGTGGATGGCTCTTCTGTTGTTGTAGTATATATCACTGGAGTTGTAGTAGATTCTTCAGATGTAGTAGTATCGAATGAAGTGGTAGTACTAGGTTCCTCGGTCGTTAAAGTGGTTTCTGCTTCAGTTGTGGATGGCTCTTCTGTTGTTGTAGTATATATTACTGGAGTTGTAGTAGGTTCCTCAGATGTAGTAGTGTCAAATGAAGTGGTAGATTCTTCAGTGGATGTACGGCTCGTCTGTTGTAGTATATATTACTGTAGTTGTAGTAGATTCTTCAGATGTAGTACTATCAATTGAAGTGGTAGTACTAGGTTCCTCGGTCGTTACAGTGGTTTCCGCTTCAGTTGTGGATGGCTCTTCTGTTGTTGTAGTATATATCACTGGAGTTGTAGTAGATTCTTCAGATGTAGTAGTATCGATTGAAGTGGTAGTACTAGGTTCCTCGGTCGTTAAAGTGGTTTCTGCTTCAGTTGTGGATGGCTCTTCTGTTGTTGTAGTATATATTACTGGAGTTGTAGTAGGTTCCTCAGATGTAGTAGTATCAATTGAAGTGGTAGTACTAGGTTCCTCAGATGTAGTAGTGTCAATTGAAGTCGTAGTACTTGGTTCCTCGGTTGTTACAGTGGTTTCCGCCTCAGTTGTGGATGGCTCTTCTGTTGTTGTAGTATATATCACTGGAGTTGAAGTAGATTCTTCAGATGTAGTAGTATCAATTGAAGTGGTAGTACTAGGTTCCTCGGTCGTTAAAGTGGTTTCCACTTCAGTTGTGGATGGCTCTTCTGTTGTTGTAGTATATATTACTGGAGTTGTAGTAGGTTCCTCAGATGTAGTAGTATCAATTGAAGTGGTAGTACTAGGTTCCTCGGTCGTTAAAGTGGTTTCCACTTCAGTTGTGGTTGGCTCTTCTGTTGTTGTAGTATATATTACTGGAGTTGTAGTAGGTTCCTCAGATGTAGTAGTATCAATTGAGGTGGTAGTACTAGGTTCTTCGGTCGTTAAAGTGGTTTCCACTTCAGTTGTGGATGGCTCTTCTGTTGTTGTAGTGTATATTACTGGAGTTGTAGTAGGTTCCTCAGATGTAGTAGTATCAATTGAAGTGGTAGTACTAGGTTCCTCAGATGTAGTAGTATCAATTGAGGTAGTAGTACTAGGTTCCTCGGTCGTTAAAGTGGTTTCCACTTCAGTTGTGGATGGCACTTCTGTTGTTGTGGTATATATCACTGGAGTTGAAGTAGATTCTTCAGATGTAGTAGTATCAATTGAAGTGGTAGTACTAGGTTCCTCGGTCGTTAAAGTGGTTTCCACTTCAGTTGTAGATGGCTCTTCTGTTGTTGTAGTATATATTACTGGAGTTGTAGTAGGTTCCTCAGATGTAGTAGTATCAATTGAGGTGGTAGTACTAGGTTCCTCGGTCGTTAAAGTGGTTTCCACTTCAGTTGTGGATGGCTCTTCTGTTGTTGTAGTATATATTACTGGAGTTGTAGTAGGTTCCTCAGATATAGTAGTGTCAATTGAAGTGGTAGTACTAGGTTCCTCGGTCTTTAAAGTGGTTTCCGCTTCAGTTGTGGATAGCTCTTCTGTTGTTGTAGTATATATTACTGGAGTTGTAGTAGATTCTTCAGATGTAGTGGTATCGATTGAAGTGGTAGTACTAGGTTCCTCGGTCGTTAAAGTGGTTTCCACTTCAGTTGTGGATGGCTCTTCTGTTGTTGTAGTATATATTACTGGAGTTGTAGTAGGTTCCTCAGATGTAGTAGTGTCAAATGAAGTGGTAGTACTAGGTTCCTCGGTCGTTAAAGTGGTTTCCACTTCAGTTGTGGACGGCTCGTCTGTTGTAGTATATATTACTGTAGTTGTAGTAGATTCTTCAGATGTAGTAGTATATATTACTGGAGTTGTAGTAGGTTCCTCAGATGTAGTAGTATCAATTGAAGTGGTAGTACTAGGTTCCTCGGCCGTTAAAGTGGTTTCCACTTCAGTTGTGGACGGCTCTTCTGTTGTTGTAGTATATATTACTGGAGTTGTAGTAGGTTCCTCAGATGTAGTAGTATCAATTGAAGTGGTAGTGCTAGGTTCCACAGTCGGTGATGTGGTTTCTGGTTCAGTTGTGGATGGCTCTTCTGTTGTTGTAGTATATATTACTGGAGTTGTAGTAGGTTCCTCAGATATAGTAGTATCAATTGAAGTGGTGGTACTAGATTCCTCGGTCGTTAAAGTAGTTTCAGCTTCAGTTGTGGATGGCTCTTCTGTTGTTGTAGTATATATTACTGGAGTTGTAGTAGGTTCCTCAGATGTAGTTGTGTCAATTGAAGTGGTAGTACTAGGTTCCTCGGTCGTTAAAGTGGTTTCCACTTCAGTTGTGGATGGCTCTTCTGTTGTTGTAGTATATATTACTGGAGTTGTAGTAGATTCTTCAGATGTAGTAGTATATATATTAGGTTCCTCGGTCGTTAAAGTGGAGTTGTGGTTGGCTCTTCTGTTGTTGTAGTATATATTACTGGAGTTGTAGTAGGTTCCTCAGATGTAGTAGTATCAATTGAAGTGGTGGTACTAGATTCCTCGGTCGTTAAAGTGGTTTCCACTTCAGTTGTGGATGGCTCTTCTGTTGTTGTAGTATATATTACTGGAGTTGTAGTAGGTCAGATGTAGTAGTATCAATTGAAGTGGTAGTACTATTCTTCGTTAAAGTGGTTTCCACTTCAGTTGTGGTTGGCTCTTCTGTTGTTGTAGTATATATTACTGGAGTTGTAGTAGGTTCCTCAGATGTAGTAGTATCAATTGAGGTGGTAGTACTAGGTTCCTCGGTCGTTAAAGTGGTTTCCACTTCAGTTGTGGATGGCTCTTCTGTTGTTGTAGTATATATTACTGGAGTTGTAGTAGGTTCCTCAGATGTAGTAGTATCAATTGAAGTGGTAGTACTAGGCTCCTCAGTCGTTAAAGTAGTTTCTGCTTCAGTTGTGGATGGCTCTTCTGTTGTTGTAGTATATATCACTGGAGTTGTAGTAGATTCTTCAGCTGTAGTAGTATCAATTGAAGTGGTAGTACTAGGTTCCTCGGTCGTTAAAGTGGTTTCCACTTCAGTTGTAGATGGCTCTTCTGTTGTTGTAGTATATATTACTGGAGTTGTAGTAGGTTCCTCAGATATAGTAGTGTCAATTGAAGTGGTAGTACTAGGTTCCTCGGTCTTTAAAGTGGTTTCCGCTTCAGTTGTGGATGGCTCTTCTGTTGTTGTAGTATATATTACTGGAGTTGTAGTAGATTCTTCAGATGTAGTGGTATCGATTGAAGTGGTAGTACTAGGTTCCTCGGTCGTTAAAGTGGTTTCCACTTCAGTTGTGGATGGCTCTTCTGTTGTTGTAGTATATATTACTGGAGTTGTAGTAGGTTCCTCAGATGTAGTAGTGTCAAACGAAGTGGTAGTACTAGGTTCCTCGGTCGTTAAAGTGGTTTCCACTTCAGTTGTGGACGGCTCGTCTGTTGTAGTATATATTACTGTAGTTGTAGTAGATTCTTCAGATGTAGTAGTATATATTACTGGAGTTGTAGTAGGTTCCTCAGATGTAGTAGTATCAATTGAAGTGGTAGTACTAGGCTCCTCAGTCGTTAAAGTAGTTTCTGCTTCAGTTGTGGATGGCTCTTCTGTTGTTGTAGTATATATTACTGGAGTTGTAGTAGGTTCCTCAGATGTAGTAGTATCAATTGAAGTGGTAGTGCTAGGTTCCACAGTCGGTGATGTGGTTTCTGCTACAGTTGTGGATGGCTCTTCTGTTGTTGTAGTATATATTACTGGAGTTGTAGTAGGTTCCTCAGATGTAGTAGTATCAATTGAAGTGGTGGTACTAGATTCCTCGGTCGTTAAAGTAGTTTCAGCTTCAGTTGTGGATGGCTCTTCTGTTGTTGTAGTATATATTACTGGATATATCTCAGATGTAGTTGTGTCAATTGAAGTGGTAGTACTAGGTTCCTCGGTCGTTAAAGTGGTTTCCACTTCAGTTGTGGATGGCTCTTCTGTTGTTGTAGTATATATTACTGGAGTTGTAGTAGGTTCCTCAGATGTAGTAGTATCAATTGAAGTGGTGGTAGTAGGTTCCTCGGTCGTTAAAGTGGTTTCCACTTCAGTTGTGGATGGCACTTCTGTTGTTGTAGTATATATTACTGGAGTTGTAGTAGAATCGTAAATGTTACATTCATCATCATTTATTGTTGGTGCTATATATCTAAACGAGTCTATTAACACAGCATTATCTTCCCATATCGTACTCAAGAATATGATCTGTGGTAATAGAAAGGAAATGTATTATTAATTTAGTAAATTTATCTTTGTACTGGCAAAATAAGTGGTCAAAATTTGTGATTACAACTCTTAGAAAGTATTATTACTAATTGTAATAATTATCTAAGACAATTCACACAGGTCAATAGGTAATAGATTTTATATAGATATTTAAAATATATTACATTTTAAGTATTTTTTGTAATCACATACATAATATACATAGAAAATACTCAGATCAATACAAACATTCATTCTCATTCAAACAAATGTTTATTTATACCGTGCGTGGTTTCGAACCTGGGACCATCAGAAATAAAGCAGTGTTCCGTGTACGGCTAGATAACCGAGGCCTTCACAGACCGGATTTGAAAAAGAAAAGAAGAATCGAAATAGAAAAGAGAAGAATTATTCTTCCGCGGTATGGATAAAGAAGACATAGTTAAGGAAAACTAGTAGTTTCTATTAGTGTGCCTATAGACATGATGAACATTCCAGATAATAACGAGTCACATACCTACTTTATTATAAACACAAATTACATTGTTAATATAATGAGATATTTGAAACAATTATATTTTAAATTAGGTGGAATACTTACGGAACATGAATTACATGGTGCATTTAATGATAGCCTAATTGATGACCAACCAGATGAGAAATTATTAAACATAGGACCATAATCCAATTGACCAATAACTTGTAAACTTTCTGTCATTGTTAAAATATGTATGGCATTATTAGCTTCTTCCAAATAAACGTTCACTTCAATAACACCACCGGTTGTAATTTCGAAGAACTTTGTCGATATGCAGTCAGCTGTCGGTATTGAGGCTGGCGAGGGTCTTAGAAAGGTGTTGCTGTATGGATGCGGTCGAGGTATTGATATGGAATCATAAATGCCCAACGTCCAATTATTGACACCGTTGCATATTGGGTGATCCCATATAAAATCATTAAGTTCATCTTCGAAATCCGATGTAATGCACTCATCTCCTTGTGTATACGAACATATCAACAGCAATATAAGGAAGTATATACTATAATGGTTAGCCATTTGCGTATATGATTGAACACTGTCAAATATGTACTAAAAATTATATCAATGTATTTTGTTTACAACAATATGTAATCTGGTATCTATTTAAAATACAATAAGATTCTATATCATAACCATATATCTTTAATCACATATAGTTTGATACAATATTACAATACTAATATATAAATTTTAGTAAACTATTTTGCATATGTTAATCAGGAACTTTATAGCTATTTATTGGAAAAAAAAAATTGAATTGACGCTAAGTGACACGAGTTTTGGTATCTGAAAATATCAGGTTGGGATTAAAAAAAAAATTTTTACATTTATATATAACCATTTTCTTGAGGAGGGTCAATTATTATTAACACACACTGTTACACTTAGGAATCCAGTAAAAAATAAAAGAAAAATGAGCGGGTCGAGAGTGAAACCGCGAGGCACAGCACGTGTCTAATAATCCGGCTTATCTATGACATATTACAAACCGATTTCCAAGAAAAGAGGTTCTGAACTTGCTTATACTGTTATAATATAATTATTTTATATGTATAATACATATAAAATAATTAATTATAATACATATAATTTTATGTTTTATTGGCCAATATAGTTTATTACTATTATTATTATATATATATATTATATCTCCGTTTTTACGGGGGTAATATATTCAAACACGCGGGCCTTAGCCAAGCATGGATGAGTTATGTGATGAAGAAAGAAATTTTCTTACTATTCGGCATGTGTTTAGTATGACGGCTTTTTGTAATAGTTCTATTGTGGAGGCCGCTCCTCCGTACATATGCAACGTGTCTAGGTGTTTGTTCAGACTTTTTGGTATAATTCCTGGTGTGTGTTTTCCATTATTTTTTTAATTCTATTGCTAGATCTGTGTACTGTATTATTATTATTATTAATAATAATATTGCTTATTCAGACTCTTACTGAAATGAAAATGCATAGTTGCATTGTGCTTAAAATACAATTATATGTGTTTAGATCATAATGAACGGAACCATACGTACATATATGTAGAAATAATGGAATCATATTGAATCACAATATAATAAGTACTGTTTGCATTGCATCTTCTATTTTTTGTTTTTGATTTGAAATTTTAGGTTACGTACAAGTACAGTAAACTTCACGTCAAATAACTTTACGGTACGGTACGGTACGGTATAACTTTACGTCAAACCTTTCATATTGTAAAAAGCGACTACAGGAAAATTCATAATAAATTAACAAAAAAAAAAATATTTAAAAAACGTATAGATCAAAAAACAATACTAGTAAACAGTATTAAGATTTTTATCAATTTATCGAAAATGATTAAGATAAAAGCATCATTAACGAATTTTAATATACTTATCTATATAAATCCTAAACAAAATGACACAAAATGATTCTACACCGGAACATCTGTTATCAACAAATTGTTGCAATTTTCAATTATACTATTATTCAAACAAGTTTTCTCTGAATAAGACTTTGTACGACGTCACCAGTAGCAGATGGCTATTTTTACAAATTATTGAAATTATTAGAAATTTATTACAAAAAATCGATTTCTAGATCTTGAATAAATACTACTCGTATTATTAACAAAAGTATTATATAACAGTATAGCAAATCTGAACTACAGCGTAGACAACAGGAATTCGTGTAACGCGTCTAGTAGACAAATGTGGTGCTTAGTGAACGAAGAAAAAATCAGCTCTCCACTGTGTTCCCACATTACTCGTTTAAGCGCCAACATTTGTTTATTTCACAAAGTTTATATAAATATTATAAAAAGAGAGAAAAATAAATTTTATTTAAATTTCACGAAGATATTTTGAATTTATTGTAGCAACGAGCGAACCTACTCCTGGATTACTTTAATTAGTCCATCAGAGAGTCATTAAGAAATATAAATTGATTGGTGATTCTTTGACTTTTTAAGTTGGAATAGATAGTAAACCAAATCAATAAAAAAGGTAGTAGCAGTAAGTAAGCAATTACTTATTTTTTCGTATATATATAATATTACGAAAAAAAATCTCACATTAGAAAATTAATAAATATATTGCAATATTGTTAGTGTAAATAGGTACTCAAGAAACATCCGCTTTTTCAAACAAGCCGGCAATTTATGAATACGTACTTTATGTACACCATTTACTTTGCTATATTTCAAAGTTTGCGGTTCTACCGACAGCCACCCGAGGCTTGAATTGTTTATTGAAAACTGAAAGGCTATTATACCTGCAAATACAAACAGACGGTCACAAATTAATTATTATGGTAGGTACGATGTAGACGACACCCAAAACAGTTATTGGAGTTGCGTGCGGAGGAGCATGAAATACTTTACAGGAGTTTTTATAAGTAATCTAAATTTTTAAAATGTTTAATAATAATATTATTATTATATAATACGTAAGACTTATCAGTTAGTTTCTCGGCTATCTTATTAGCAATGGAATAGTATTTCGATATCTTATTCAATTCAATGAAACTTACATTTTTAAACATTCGGTTTAAAATAGGAAAAAAAATGCAGCAATTAAATAATAAAATCTACCTAGACGTAGACCTAGATTAAATAATAATATCTAGACATCTATACATATAAATAAAATTTATTAAAAGTAAAATTTATTATATAATCTCAGGACAATTCACACAGCGCCATCTAAACCCAAGTTAAGCTAACTAAAGCTTGTGTTATGGGTGCTAGATAACTGATACAAATACAGAGATTTTTTTTTTTGTAGATATATACATATTATACATAGAAAACACCCAGACCGATACTCATGAATACAAATGTTTGTACCGAGCGAGGAATCGAACCCGTGACCATCGGAAGTAAGCCGGTGTGCTACACTGCCAGGTCACCGACCCTGTGAAATAAGGTTTTACGTCACGGAATGTAGCTAGTTAGTAATTGTTATCTAGATACATGAATAAGACCACATCACGTTATCATGTGACGACTTTTGTAGATATTCTATTATCTGTAGGTTTCACTTATACGTTACCATTCCTAAGGATTAAGATGTCATTCTTTCCAATCCTGTAATTTCACTACCTTATCTCAACTTAACGAAGTGGAACACATTTAACAGAGTAACATGTTTGCAGTTATTTTTATAAACTTATAGGGAGTTTTTTTTATAAACTTTCTACATCTGTGTAGTCGTCCTTGACTAAAAATTTTAATTATGTGTAAATATTTAATATTAAATATGCCTATATTTGTAATTAAATAATGGTGCAAGCCAATAGCGCTGTTTTCTATGGGATATCCTATTAATGTTCTAGCGTGAAGAATTATTTTTGACTTATATGAAATAATCTTTATTTCTTATTTGTACATTACTTCTTATCGTATTCAATGGAAATGGTATCTAAATGTATCTACTTGTTCACATAAATCTCACGAAGTAATGATAACGGTAAAATAAGAGGGCAACTTTGTATGTCATATTATGTTTTTATTTATTTAAAATGTTAGAAATGAATGTGGATGGTTATAAGGGCAGAGGAAGGCCAAAAAAGAGATGGATGGACTGTGTGAAAGATCATATGGTAAGAAAGGAAGTAAATGATGCAATGACTGCAAACAGAGATGAATGGAAGCGAAAAACATATTACGCCGACCCCAAATAAATGGGATAAGGAAGAAGCAGATGATGATGATTATTTATATATATTCAAATATCATACATACATTTATATACATTCAGAAAAGTCAAACCATTTGTTTTTGACAGTACCTATATCATGTCATCTCTCTCCCCGTTACAATAAAACACATGCGTGTACTTTTTAAATCGAACCACGAATTGCAAGAAAAATGCGAAATGTTCACGAGATGGCAGGCACGCACTGCCGTGCCATCAAAGAAGCGTGATTGCCTCGTTACGTAGATATTGGGATTGTGAACACAAATCTAAAACATGGTGAAACAGACACGATATAATGAATAAACAACACTGGACATTTAACACAGATTCATATAGTCCCATGATAGGTAGAGCTTGTGTCTTGAGTACTAAATAACTGATAAATACTTTTACATACTTTTTTAAAAATACATACTAAACACACAGACCGTTTGCTCCATGTGAGGAATCGAACCCGCGACCATCAAAAGTAAAGGGGTGTGCTAGACCACCGAGGCCGTCTGGGGTTGGAAAATAAGCAAACAGATTATGGATCTAATTGAAATCACATAAAAATTAGAGCCGTTACACATATAATTGTTATTTATACAATAACTGCAAAATAGTCATACCCACGCGTTGCAGCCCCTAAGATTAAAGTTATATTTTCGATACTTGAGAAGACTCCGAATTAATATTGTACAGTATTAATTTTATGCTAAAACTGAGTACTTTAGTTTTATAAAGAATATCTATTAGTTTTTACTGAGGTTTTCGTATTGCCATTAGGTTTTGTTTCAAAATGTATATAATATATATGTACATTCGTTCTAGTTGAAGTTTTGTATATTTAAGTAGCAAAATTATTCTATGTATTGATTAATAGTAATAAAAATCTAACAAGTATCCATCTACACGTCATTTGATAACTCGTTAAGGTGGCAGAACGTAACAAACTACCATACTCACATTTAGAATATAAGTAAAACTCCAAGCCAATACTTGATAAGAATGCCATACAAACCAAACGAATAAAGTTGAGCAATAAAGTACAAGAAATCACCAGGTCGCCGGGGAAATCTTCTGCTGAAATATCAAATGCAGGTAATTAATCAGAAGAAATAATTGGGAGGCCGGAAATGAGGAGCCTCTTTGGCAAAGTCAAGGATATCTTTGTATTTCTAAAGATATATAGAACATCTTACTAACTACTTTGTGCTTATAACTATGATTGAGGTTATTAATACATAATATTCAGTTGACGAAAAGCATAAAAAAACTTAATTTACAGAGTAATACTTTAGATAAATATTTTATTATGATTATTTTACAAATACTAATTTCAATATTAACTCTACTGGATTAGTAGTACACCTAATTTTATCTTTGCCTTTTAACCTGTGTTCCGGTTTGATTTCTAGGATCAGGAATGGATGCATCCAAATAGATAATGTAGTGGATAAAATAATTCGATTGCACTATACAAGAGGGGATCTAGGATCCAGGCCTCTCCCTAACACTGTTCTGATATTGCCCCTGAGTTTGGAGTCGTGTGGAAATATAATGGGCATCATAACATAATCTATTATGTAACCTCTTTATATTAGAACTGTTTGTATCCTTATATTGCTGGCCGTTACCACTTACCAATACATAGGCCGTCTCTATATTTGCAATCCCAAATGTATAAAAAAATTGTGGATATTAGGTATGTATGTACACGTAACAAGGAGAGTTATCTCCCCTGCAGAGTGATTATCAATTTACATTAAACATCTATCTATTATTTTAATAATAATAAAATGTCAAGAAATAATCTTTCCTCAATTACGTGCGATAACATTTATCACTACGGCTACTATGCTTATCTACATTATCTTCCATATCTAAATAATGTCTTTGTCCATTTAATCAGACTATTAATTCAAATGATAATGGATAATTACGTAATATTTCAGTAAAGAGCATTCACTGTTGAAATATCGCAATCTTGTCAAGAAAAAATAATTATATACAGTGACTCACAAAAATGCCCCAATGTTTGACCATTTCGCATTCCATCGCCTGTTATGATATGAGGATAGAATTAATAAACCTGAACTGCTAGTATGTGATAGCCCTGCTTCTTGGCTTTCGAATAAGCCGCCAATGATGAATTACTATTGGCTGGCTATGAACTTATGCCACTGTGAAATATAAAAACTATTGGGGCATTTTTGACCGTTTAGGACAATCTCGCGATATAAGTGATATTCCGTTCGATCTACCTATCCACTGAAGATAAAAACACTCGAATAGCTAACTGGAAATATATCTACTTCCTCCCTCTCTCATCCAATACTTTTCATACAACTTGCTGACCATGAAGCCTATTTCTCCTGCCCTCAAATCCGAAGTTATCAAGCGAATTAACGAAGGCGTATCCACCCGTAGGGTGGCCCAAGAACTTTCCGTGAGTAAGTCTACTGTTGCTAGGATACGAAAAGAACACTGCGCCGCTGTTGCCCCACCCTCAAAAGGGCGCCCAAGGAAGTTATCAGAGTCCAGTGCCCGGTATGTGGTGAGGCTTATCACTTCGGGGGCCATGGATACTGCCGTAGAGGTCCAACGACACCTTACCAATGCCATGGACGTCTCCACAAGTCCCGAAACTATACGTCGGACACTCAAGAAGGCCAAGCTTCGATCTGGTAACAAAATCCGCAAGCCGCTTTTAACGAAGCGTCTTCGGCAAATACGGCTAGCATGGGCTAAGATGTACCGCCATTAGACGGTGGAGGATTGGCGTAGGGTCATCTTCTCTGACGAGACGAAGGTCAATCTGTGGGCTCTGATGGCCGCAAGTGGTGCTGGAAACGACCAGGTAAAACGCTAGAGACCCGCATCATTGAGTCGACGCTGAAGCATGGCGGAGGAAATATCATGGTATGGGGCTGTATCACTGCCGATGGCCCCGGATATATTACTAGGATCATTGGAAATATGATAAAATAGGAGCTCTCTCAAGGCATCCTTAAAGAGGAACTTCTCCAGACCATTGAATGGTATGGCTTTGAAAAGTCACGCGTCATCTTTCAGCACGATAAGGACCCAAAGCATACAGCTTTGGCGACCCAAAAATGTCTCCGAGACCTGCGTCTAAAGGTTCTGGCATGGCCCCCGCAATCTCCAGACATGAATCCAATCGAGCACATGTGGCAGAAGGTCAAGATTCGTCTTGCAATTGACCCAAGACGACCGAAAAAGAAAGACCAGATGTGGGCTAAGTTTCAGAGAATCTGGAATGAGGTAAGCAAGGAAGATTGCAGTAAACTGATCGACAGTATGCCAGAGAGGGTGCAGGTGCTTCTCCGAGCTCGTGGGGAACATGCAAAATACTGAAATGAGGAAATAAAATGAGATGTTGTGAAATTTGATCAAACGGTCAAAAATGCCCCAATGCGTTTTTAACTTTGTAATCATTGTAATGTCATAACTAGTTTAGTAATAATCATGCAACTTATATTGTTTAATAGCTCAATGGGAGCACTAACACATACTAAAGTATCAGCTGTGCATCTATTGAATTTATTGAGTTTGACTACTTTTTGTGTCGAGTTACACATCATTGGGGCATTTTTGTGAGTCACTGTATAGATCATTTTGCTCAAAAACTTCATATTTTGCGTTTAAATAACTTTGTACCACAGACGGACTTTGTACATACGACTGCGAGCGAGCCGTATTACTGGGTATGAAAATAGAACATCATAGTCTTCAGGAATGAGTCGAACCGAAGCTGTCAATCCGTATATAAGCATCGATTATCGCTTTTCATCTAAAAATAACTATAGCTTATTCCCCATTTCAAATTTCTAGCAAAACAAAATGACATTAGTCTTTAGTCGTATCAAAGTGTACAAAGACAGTATAATGAGGGAAAATATATAAATTACATAAATTCAAAATTATGCTTATATCGGTGGTCTAGTAGTTTAGTACACTGCTTTATATTCGACGGTCGCGGGTTCGATTCCTCGCACAGTACACATTGGTATTCATGAGTATGATTGTTTGTATCAGTCTGATTATTTCTATGTATATTATGTATGTATTTACTATAGAAAAAGTATCTATGTATTTATATCAGTAGTCTAGTGCCCATAACATAAGCTCAGCTTAACTTGGGAGTTATTCTGCCATTTCCAGCAAGTAAAGGTTTATATCAAATAGCACGATTTACTCCAATTTGAGTGAAAGCTTTCGTGTGGAATATGTTTGAGTGGAAAACCAATTGTGTATTAGATTCTCATTAATTTAAATGTTCATTTATTTTGCTGCGGAGTTTCCCAATAAACGTTGTGACTGTCTCTAACGAGCGTTTATATTTGATTTCAATTATGAGAAATTATATTAAGGACCTACATTCACTTAAGATCCAGATTACGTAGTAAGAAACTATGTATCAAAAGCTTCTATACCTTAATATTGGTACCTTTAAAAATAAAACAGGAAAAGTGCATTAGTAAGATCAAAGATTTAACTGACACTAAAAATATGTAATATATATTTATTCCGCGATTTTTAGGAGTCAATTGTATAATACACTTAAATAAAGATATTCTTAAAGAAACGCAGAACAAAAATATTTATATTAAGTATAATGTCATGTTGCCGAGCTATTGATAGAAGGATAGTTGAATAAAAAAAATATACAATATGAGGATATATTAATAGCGGTAATATACAGAGTTTAATAAGATATAACAATAAAATTTTATTACACTATTTAATTTTTAATACATATTAACAATGAAAAGAATTACTTTTTATCAATTTATTTTTTCCATGAAAATGTATTGTATCATGTATTTGAAGTGAATAAAAGGAGTAGGTACTCTATAAATATTGAGTTAGATTATTTTATATTAGTTGCACTGGCATTTCTCCTCGTCTATATTTATCACTTCACTTATCTCATGTCTATGAAAACAATTTAAAATATTTAAGTAATGCAAGTTAATAAATTACAGTAAATTGTAATGAATACATAAAGAATAAATAGTTAAAATATTTTGTCAATTATTTATAAGGATAATACAATACTTAGTATAGATACAACACTAAAGTTATATTGTGTATCTACTACACTTTCAATTATTGCAATTAGTTCTCCAATAGTAGTACACTAAATACAATTTTACCTTAGGTAGACATTGTCAAAAGTCGTCTCCATGGATCTTACCTGCTTCAACAGTTAGGCACCTTGCTTTATAAGCTGTGGTTCATTACATCTTAGTCCTCTAGAATGGCAATGTATGAGTGATCTGACGGTCGTCACATTATGCTGATCTTGGTGCTGTTCATTTATACAAGTAACCGTTACCACCATCAGGTGGGATGTTAGCGTTGTTGATATTCTTATTACATTAAAAATATGATTTAATTTACGACACTTTCGGATAACTAATATTCGAAACAGTTCATCGAATTTTAAAAGTGTAACGTCAGCATTACTGTGAATACTGTTATGTATACAAAGAATAATAGTTTATCTAACGCTTCGGCCAATTCTGCAGGTTGACAAAACGTGCTGACGTGTGTAACATTGGGGTTCTCAGATTGCATTTCTTCTAAGTTACCGTTTCTTGGAGTTACAATAGCAGCATCAGCATCATCATGACTATATGCATCGTTCATTACACTGTAGTTCCTGCACATCTGAAATTTTATGTCAAATTAGACACCAATTTATCCACTATGGTGTAGAGATATACAACACTGTCTAACTTCCGATGGTCTCGGGTTCAATTCTTTGGTCGTTACAAAGGTTGTTGTATTCATGGGTATGATGGTTTGTTTATTCTGGATGTTTTCTATGCATATGATGTATAAATTTACAAAAGAAAGTATTTCTATCGGTTATCTAATACCCATAACATAAGCTCTGCTTAGCTTGAGACTAGATGGCACTGTGTGAATTGTCCTGGGTTGTTATTATTAATAAATAAATGTAATAGGACTAAAAAATGATTAACTAAATTAGTCTAGTTACTAAACTTTACATTAAGGTAATATTAATAAAGTTTAGCTTAATAAACAGTCAGACTATTTCAGTTTTTAGTATAACTAATTTGACCATCACTATTTTTCAGTACACACTAATCAATATTTTTGTGTTTATTACATATTTAGTATATTTTTTTTAGTGTATATTTTCTTATATAATATATTCTTACCGTCATTGTAGGTAAACAAAATATGAATCTGAAATACGCTGAAGAGAGTGTCGTGTGAATTGGTCGTGTATCGCAGATAGACTTTGCGAGTTTTGTCATCAAAGCAACTTGCAGTAACAGGGCAATTAGTACTCCCACTAAAACTGTTATGTAGAGTACCACTGAAAAAGATTTTTTAACATATTTATATAATGGTGATATCGGTAATATATAGAATGGTGATACCGCTTGCACTATGAGTGACAACTGGATGAATATGAAATTAGGTTATTTAACATATCGTGGCCTTATTTACATGGCTTTCCACTACCAGGGAATACACAGCGAGAACAGCGACTTTTATGTATGTGTTTCCATAACTTTACATTAAAAAATTTAATATGTAGATTAATTATATTGGTGTAATCAGTTGGAATTTAAATTCTAAATTGTACTAATATAAATGTGAAAGTATATCTGTCTATCTGTCCGTTCATTATCTTTTTACGACTAAATAGATTTTAACGAAATTTAATTGAAGATATATCGTATATGAAGCCGGAGATGGATAATGTTTTATCATTATATTGTTTATATCATAACGTGATAACTATATTTTGCCATTCCGGAGAACTAAAATGTTATGCCTCTTGTCCCATAATTTTGCTACCTTATCTCACCATTCAACCGAAACATAATAATGTAATTATTGTTCCCATTCTTGATATAATTGGATTTGACTGTATAGATAGCAACGTGACCACCACTTGCGAACGCATCGATATATTTATATTATCATATAATTTAAAATTTTCACATCTCGTCGAAATTTTGTGAAAGCCATCCAATGAGGTTATTAATGACGTATTGAAATTCAATACATCGGACAAAATAAATGTGATTGCTAAATTATAGCTATCGGTTAATAATATAATACAATATAACTAATAATATAACTATATAAGCTTTTTAAAAAACAATTTAGTATTAATCCCAAGAAAGAAAATGTAATAAAATACGTTATAATTAACTTAAATAATATAGCCTAACCTCTTTCATAATAAAAACCATGGAAAAGGTTCTGGACCAACACATTAGAGCTACAATCCTCGAAAATGCTCCCCTGCACAGGAATCAACATGCCTACCGCAAGGGACATTCCACAGAGACCGCCTTGCTCGAACTCACCGACAAGGTCGAGAAGGCCTTTGAGGACAAACAAATAGCTCTATGTGCATTTCTCGATATTGAGGGTGCTTTTGATAACACGCCCATAGAGACCATCTCACAGGGACTCATCCGCAAGAAAGTGGATGAAACCACCACTCAATGGATCAAAGCAATGCTCTCAAATCGAACCATTAAAACTACTCTTCACAACAGTACGTTAGAAATCCGACCTACCAAAGGATGCCCTCAAGGAGGCGTTTTATCGCCACTGCTGTGGCTACTAACGGTACACCAGCTCTTAGATGTTATGACCAAAAACCAATTTGAGGTACAAGGCTACGCAGACGATTTAGTAGTCATGGTCAGAGGGTTCTGTGCAACAACAATATCAGACCGCATCCAAAGAGCACTAAACATCATAGTTAAATGGTGTAAGGAAAATGAATTATCAGTAAATCCTGATAAAACAGTAATTGTTCCGTTTACAAAAAGGAAGAAACTTGACAAACTTGTCATGCCTAAAGTAAATGGAAGAATATTAGAGTGCTCCAAAGAAGTCAAGTACCTGGGCGTAACCTTCGACCAAAAACTGACATGGAACACACACATAGACAACATAACTCAAAAGGCGAAAACATCCCTAGGTATAAGCCGACGGGTAGCGGGGCCCAGATGGGGAATCAACCCCAAAATTGCCCTATGGCTTTATACAGCAGTGGTGAGACCGCTTACCACCTATGCCTGCGCAATCTGGTGGAGGAAAACCCTCCAATCCACAGCTGCCACCAAGCTAAACAGCCTACAGAGAATTGCTTGTCTGATTATTACAGGAGCCATGAGCACCACGCCGGGAGCAGCTCTAGACGCATTATTGGACTTGACGCCCCTTCCTCTATTCATACAGGAAAAGGCGAAAGCCAATATGCTCAGAATAAGTTCCCAAAGGAGGATATCTTGGCATTCCCTGGCCATAAAAACTATACAAGACTCGATTATGAGTGATCCTATTCTGGGAATGCCTGAAGACAACATGGCACCAGAGTGTAACTTTGTACAATATTACAAAATCGAAATATCTGGAAGAGACGAATGGCAAAATAACCATACACCGTCTCACTCAGAGCATGACCTAGTCTGGTTTACAGACGGGTCCAAAATAGGAGATGATGTAGGATGTGGAATATGTGGTGTAAAACCCAAAATCTACAACTATATAGGCTTAGGAAAATACGCCTCAATCTTTCAGGCAGAGACTTACGCCTTAATTAGATGTCTGGAAGTAATCCTAAGCCTCAACTACATCAATCAGAACATATACATTTATTCGGACAGTCAAGCTGCTCTACTAGCACTTAACTCGTACGAAATCCGTTCTAAACTTATTAGAAACTGTATCCTGCTACTAAATGAAGTAGGAAGCAGAAATAATATCATACTGAGATGGGTCCCCGGGCATTCAAATATTGAAGGCAATGAGAATGCCGACCATCTGGCAAAGTTAGGGGCAAAAACCGTCCAACTGGGCCCCGAACCCTTCTGTGGTGTGCCTCGTTGCCTAAAACTGGGACATCTCAAATTAATAACCAAACGAGAAGCACTGAATCACTGGCAAGAAATGCCAGGATTAATACATTCAAAAGACCTTATATCGGGCTTCTCGACCAAATACTCCAATAGATTACTGCAATTGAGTAAAAACAACATATGCATGATGACTAGGGCCCTCACAGGACACTGCAAATTGAACAAGCATATGGCTAAGCTAGGCCTATGCACGACAAGTATCTGCAGATTCTGCCAAACTGAAGAGAAAACGCCGCTTCACATCCTATGTGGTTGTAGCCCACTCATGCATAAACGAAATATCTCCTTTGGAAAGTTTACACTCTTTCCCGAGGAGATAAAAACGATCGCTCCTAAGAATATCCTTCAATTCTTGTCCCTGACGGGTCTAGGTAGCGAACTCTGAAAAGGGCGAGCACAATAGATCTATGTAGGTCGCAGTGTTACAGGTGCTACACATCTGACAATAGCCCAAACCCAATAAAAAATAAAAAAAATAAATAATAATAATATAGTTCTAAAGTAAATTTTCGCAAAATGCTGGCAGCTACTTCGTTGAATGGCCAATATTCATACACATAGGGATCAATATTCCTATGTACCATGAAATACATATACAATAGCACCATGAATTGTCTTAAAATAAAACCTATTATAGTATAGGTTTTATTTAAAGTTAATTGTAACTACTATAGTAACCTTTCTTTGTGATAAATTTCATTATGTAATAACAGTACCCCTCACGTGTTGTCCTTCTGGAGGACTCCGATAACCTATCTCTTTATCCTGAAATTTCACTGCCATCTCTCATACCGTAACACTGCTTACAATGTAAGCTCCTTGGCGGCAAACATAAGTGAGATAGATGCATCTAGGCTGACAACTTTGTACATAGTCCCCCTTAGTACCAAACAAAGTATACTTCATAAATTTGCACATTTGAAAATAATATTTTTTTTGTCGGTTTTTCGGTTTAGGTTGTAAGAACTCCGAACTGACGATGGATTTTTTCAGGAGTCCACTCGTCTGCGCTAACGGTATACGCTAGCAGCGTGCCAGTGGAGGACTATAAGATGAACACGAGGTTAGGTAAGATAGTCCACCGTGACCAATTCATCAGGAATTTTAAACTTAAACTTGATATTTCTAGCAATATGGTTATTAATCTACATTACTAAAAATCTCTATCCCCACTGACGGTGGATTTGACTTATCATAAGAGTCTGTAATAGAGCTACATGAATAAAGATATTTAGATTTGATTTGATTTGACATATATTAGTACTTACGTATTGAAGGCACAGTATGACATGGAATCAAATAATCAACATAACATAATCCCATGCATACGACAATGATGCAGCCAATGTAGAACCATATTCGAGACATATTCAATGGCTCGCTCCAGAATGACAGCAATACGAAAGTAACTAGCACTGCAATCGATTAAAGACTGTTTAATATAATTATAATCGCAAACAAGGTGGTAAGTGGTAACCGTCGCATATACACATGAAGTCATCCACAAGTCATCATGTGTCGCCAGTAATCGTCATGCGTTAACATTCCGAAGGACTGAGATGTTATTTAGTGTTTTAAATTTAACGTACTCATTATTCGTTCCAGGGAACTTAATAAAAATAAAACGTGGTAAGATCCCATGATTTGCTAATTATTCGTAGGATGTTATTCCTTCTAATTCCGTAATTTCACTGCCAAACACAGTTTACAAAGTGCTTTGCGGTTTCTAATCATCGTAGGTTCAATTCATGGAAAGTTGTATGTACAAGTAGTAATAAAATATGTCTATCAGTTAATTAGCATGTCTGAATATTACAAGGTCTGTATATTTTGAGACTAGACTGCACTATGTCATATATACAGCGTAATTTAATAATGGATATTCAATTTTTCAATGTTACTTACCAATTAAGGAAACAAAATAATGGACTATTAGAGAATTTGATATGTCCTTTCCATACGTTATTTTATACTAATGTAACTAACTCTCCCGTGATTGAACCCAGGAACTATCGCAATACTTGGCTTATTTGCTTACTTATTTTTCTAGATGTGAGTCCACAGTCTACATTTTTTATTATTTCTCACATTTCACTGAGTATATTTGATCTAGCGTATCAATTGACGAGCGCATCAGCATGATTAGTATTAATTTGCTTTATTATCTACCGATAACAACAAACAAGTAACAGTACCTTGTTACCTAATAATTTTAAATGAAGTTCTTACCTAACAATGGAGTATAAAACACAATGTTATACGAAGTTGCTTTTCGTTTAAGACTAAGGGTAATGAGGAATCTGTCGCTTTGGTTCGTATCATTGTTTGAATTTGGATACATTTTATTCCATTGGAATGCGGGAACAATTTTTTGGTTCCAGCTTACTTCCCATTCGTTTCTCACGATTGCATCTATGTCTGAAAACTGTGGCAATTATATAGCATGAAATTAAAGGCGAATAATTATTGTTCCGTAATTTAAACTCTTCGTTAGTATTAACAAGCTGTATCACCGGTTAGTGTACTAGAGCAAAGAACTTTCGATAGTACTGGCTACCAAATAAATGACACAACTCCTTAAATTTAGAAGAATAAAAATTATTTTAAAATAGGAACTCATCCACATTACTAACAATCACCTTCCCCCATATATACAGTATAGGTTAGGTGTTTATGACTAACTCTATATATTATGACTTAATTATGTATTATTATATATATAAATAAATCTTTATCATTAAGTTCATCTATAAATAAGACAAAGATAAAACTTCTTTCTACCTATCCTTTATACTTACGATTTGCATTTTCAAATCTATCGGTTCAAGTAGTCCCATTGTAATTTGTTCATGCGAGTCCCATGGTTGTATCACTATTACACATACATATTCATCGTGGGGCCATCTGAAATTAATATTACAGAATTTGTTCCATGTAGAACCATCTATACTAATATTAATTCATAATATTAGTATAGATGGTTTTACATGGAAGTATGTCTGTCCATCTGTTTGTTATTTTTTCACAACTAAATGGCTGAACTGATGTTAATGTCATTTGAAGAATAAAAATATAGATAGATCGTATCACAAGGAAAGGATACACATAAATAGATAAGTAATAAATGATCCTGGGCAATTTACACAGCGCCATTTAAACAGAACTTGTGTTATGGGTACTAGACAACTGATATAAATACATAGTTTTTTTATAATACATATATAATATACATAACAAACACTCAGACCGATATAAACAATAATACTCATGAATACAAATGTTTGTACCGTGCGAGGAATCGAACTCGCGACTATTGAAAGTAAAGCGGTGTGCTAAACCGCAAGACACCGAGGCCGAGAAATAACTACTATAATATTAAGTAAGTAAGTATGTCTGTTTATAGTTCTTCACAACTAAACGGCTGAACGGCTTAACAGCGAACAATTAATAACATTTGTTACATACAGTATACATGTAACAAATGTTGTTACATATAGTATCTGTATATAACATATAGATATATTGTATTACAACGGCAAGGATATACTTGTTTGTCATTCAACTGATATAAAAATATATGTAGAAACATACCTATGTATAGTTGATGGCTCTGCTCCGTCAGCAGAGGCGTAAGCTGTGCTCATCGCCTTTACACATGAACAGCACTAGGCACATCATTGTATAATATCACACCTCGTTACCATTTCAGATGACTAAGATGAAATGCTTCTTATACTATAAATTCACCTAATCAACCTAACTATAAATTGCCTAATCTGCAGCTTACAACCGAAATTAAACTGCTTAACTAGGTGAGACTGAGAGGGCCACGCAAATAACTTGTGAAAGTCCTATGGTCCTTAATTTCATATTGATGGTGGTCCAGCGATTTGACACACTGTTTTACTTTCTATGGTCGCAGGTTTTTTTTTTGTATTCATAAGTATTATTGTACGTATTGATCTGGGTATTTACAAAAAAAGTAAGTGTAATTATTATACAGTTACTTAGTATTTACAATACTCTACTTAGCTTGGGACCAGATGGCGCTCTATGAATTGCCCAATAATATTATATTACAAACAAGTAGCGGCGCAGTATAAAGTTAGCCGACTATATAAATATAATATTTTTAAAATGTTTGTGAACAAAAAAAGATGCAACGACCTACTTATTGAAGCTTGCTGTGTACATAACACACCAAGACTCGACGGTGGATTTGAAGTGGAATGTTGCTTCGCCTTTGTTGTTCATTGATATAAATCCTGGATTTTTGGCGTCTAAAGGATTGACATCATCAGAACTGCAAGAAAAAGGCACAAAAATTTTACAAATGTCATAAAGTTGAAAAGTTTGTTGATTTAGTTGAATGCGCGAATTTCAACTACCGGTTCTATATGAATAATTCAGAGTTCGATAGCTTATTTATCTAGGAAAGCAATAGTCTAAATAACAGCTACTACCAAATATATTTTCATTGATGCTCCATCAATTATAAATATCCAAAAATGAGGAAAATGTTACGTAGACGAAGTCGCGCAAGTATGTATACTCGTAGAATATTAGCTGTCTCTCTCCATTTAAACTATGTAGACGAAATCATAATTATGCCCGCTAGATCTGTTGATGGATTTTAATACAATTTTCGGAAGGAATACTACATGTAATATATAATAGAAATCATTCTTACTTGAATACAAGAAACGTTGGTCTCCATATTTGATTGGAACGGAAATACAATTTAGTGATGTTTGCGGCCTCAGTTTTATTTGGATCCCAAGTCATGCTTTTGTCGGTCCAACTCTAGAAATTATTTCAGTTAATTATTTATAATAATAATGAATCACTAGCTATAATGTTTTAATGTGGAATACATGGAATATTGTAAAATGTACATATAAATAAAATAAGGTTTTTTTCCATTTGTTAAAAAAAATTGTACATAAAGTCTTCTACTTTATGTACAATAAACATATGTAGTTAAACTACATAGTCTGGCTGTAAATACCGGTATAATTAAAAATAAACAAAATATTACATTTGAATTTGGAATCTGTTATTCTTTTATGAATGTTCATTAAGTTTTCTCGTTTTCGTGCAAATCCGTTGTCAAATATTTTTATGATATTAAAATGGAGAACCGAATCGCTGTGATTGCAATACACAAAGTAGGTATGGAAAGGTAGAATAAAGAATTTACTCTGTAACAATATTTGTGACTAGACTAGGTGTAATTTTATGCTGATGTTCCACCCTCTACGTCGTGTTCAACACATACCTACAAAGTATTTGTGTTATCGCAAATAGAACGATTATAGCTTAATGACATAGACAGATAATACTTTCAATTTATAGATAGGATACTTATTAATATAGTTCAACGGGTCTTGAGACGAATAATATTATGGATATATAAATAAGGATTTAACCTCTTTTGAAATTTAATTACATTAATAACGTGTATGTAAGTTTGAAATTTTTGTGCAAGTTTCAAAACAACGTAGGATATTGCATGTGGCATCCGCCTATGCTAACGGTATACATTGGCTAGGCATTATTAGAGGTTAGAAGAGCCGTATCAGTTAGCACAATGTGGTGAATTAGTTCAGGTCAACCTGAGAGTGTATACTGATAAGAAATGAATGATTAGTCTCCACTACTTAATCATTTGTATGGGTGAGTGCAAATAGTAAACACTGTGGTGGGCTGAATGACCTTATTTAGATAAAAATAAAGCTATTACTCTAAATGACAGGAATAAAAAGAATAAAGAAATAGAATAAGAAAATAAATATAGCTAAACCTAAAAAGAAGGAGCAGAGATAGATTTTTTCCAAGGTTTGGTGAGCGATTATTATTTCTCTATATTATTTCTAGCACGGACAGTATATATTAAATTTGTAAATACACGCACACATGATAAGAATATTTACAAATATTTTATAATTAATTGAAAAAACCCAATGCAGCAATGCCCTTCAATACCCGCGTGATGAAGTTAATTTAATTAAAAGAACTTACTGTCACAAAAGATAATCCCGCGATAAGTTTGGATTCAAAGGCATCATATCTCGCATTGGTAACTACTACGCCCATTTGTATATCCACTTTTGTTTCTGGTTCTAAATTGGCCGCACGGCCAAGGAGTAAGGTCTTCTTAATCTGCTCGGATGGTGTTAGATTACGAGCCACTTCCTTGGAGTTTGTAGCTATGGTAACTTGAATAGAAATAATTTTATTAAAAATGTCAGATGAAGAAAATACATTACTGAACATTATCAGTTATTGAAATTTTGGAGAATGCATAATTTCACATACTACTGAGTTTGTTGAAATTTAACGTATTTCGTTTAAATGTAATTGGGAGTGGAGTTACGTCTTTTGCATTATTTTTTAATATCGGTGTTTCTATCATCGAAGTATTAGTCAAATATGAAAATTATCAATTTCAATTAGTATTGGATAGATTCCAACTCACTACGTTTGTCTAAGTCTGGGTAGTAAACCACGACGCTTTCGAGTATACGTTAAGTTATAAAGGAAAGAGGAATTAATAAGAGGAAGCTATTAAGGGCCTATTATGAAAATAAAATTAATAATTTTAATAATAGAATACCAGACGTTGCGTTGCTCCATTGTTTATTTTTTTCATATGTAAAAGATCATATTAATCTATATCTTAAGGCACCATCAATTTGGCAATTCAGTGCATCTACACATGATCCCAAAAACATTTAGGTAATCTATTGTAATATTAACCCTTTAAAAGAGATCCTAAAATATAAAGTAAGCAAGTATTACATGCTACAGGAATGTTAAAAATGAGTCGCGAGTTCTATACATTTGTTTTTATGTACACGACGGACTGCATAGTTTTAATAAATCATCACAGAGAAGGATGCATCAAGGATGCAGAATTGATGGAAAAGGAATAGAAAAACTTACCATCACTATCATTTGTTTCCCCTCCTGGCAATGGACAGTCGTACAAAAACTTGGCTTCCACACCAGCCCAAGAAGCAAAACTCAAATATTTTATATCAAGCGGGTCCACATCGTAGAAGCTTATAATTGGTAATATTTCACCTTCTCTACCAAATGAAATTAGACCATCTGTAAAAGAAGTGAGAAGAACAAAATATTTTTATTATGATCATCATTTTGAAACAGAGAAAAAGAAACTCATATTTAAAACTAAATTTTTGTTTATATTACATATTGGAACCTTTCGGCCTCTTGTATATACCTATTATATTTTTGTCATTATCCTTACCGAAAAGGTTAAAAAATAAGGTAATATTTGGAAATATATTTTAATATTTTAAATTTAAAGTCGAATTTTTAAACGTATTTTAGTTAATCCTGTTAGTTATAAAGCATGCAAGGTTTCCATATTTCATAACTATTATTCCAAGCGGAATAGTAACTGACATTTTTAACTGCCGATATTATCAGTAATTATATATAGATTGGTTTAAAAAAAATGAATTTGAGAAAGTTGAATTGGGCGGTACTGTTAATAATAATAATAAAAATTGATACGCCTAAATAATTAAAAAGTGACGTGAAATGTCTTATATAAATATATTTTTTATTATCATACATATTCTTTATTGCACTTAAATGCATTTATAGTCTGTCTGTTCATTAACAATAGTGTTCACAAAGGAAGAGTTATCTCTAAAAGACATTTCTACAGTCAACTCAATACAGCGTAGCGTAAAAAGTGTTGAGTGAGTCAATGTGCAAATAATAATTTAATAATAATGTTATTAAAAGAAAATACCCTTTGATATTGTTATATAAAATCCCCTAAGTTCCATATTGGAGAGTACGCCGTGTGTTTTGGATGAGACCTTTGCATTTCTTCTCAACTGACGTCGGAGTTCTGTAAACGTGTTTCCTCCACCGCCAACCACTGGTAAAAGATTACAACACGATTTTAGTACTTAAGTCCATCTAATTGGGCATATATTTAATATTTGGCTAAAGTAATGAACCTCTGTCATTTTACAAATGACTCACTTTTTTATGGACATTCAGGATGAAAGATGACTGATGACTAATGCAAAGCAGCAGACCCATATAATGCCTTTCGTGTATTTGTGGGAATAATTTTTATATAAATAAACGTAAAAAAAGCACTTTTGAATTGTCACACTTATTCTAATACTCATTCGGAAAGCGGGGTCCTCACAGAAAGGTCGAGCAATAAACGTAAGTTTGTCCTTGAAAACTAAATTGAATAATTAACTAAAACGTAGTACACAAATTACTTTTTAATTTCAATTATAATATGAGTATAGTTGTAAATAACAGTAGAAAAATATGAGTATATATACATATATATACCTATTTCATAAACAGGGTCAGTAGCGCTGGGCCGCTTGACTGGAGAAAGTAATATGTGGCCATTACTGGTTGCTTGTATAGCTAGGTGCATTTCAAACATTTTGTTAGGGTCTGAGCTAGCTCTCATGTCTGATTGAATCTGATAAAACGTATCATAGCTGTACCCATGTTGCGAGATGTGTTCTTTGCAACGCGTCGCCGCTGAAATAAAAAAATTACTTAAATCTACACTAATAATATCTATGGTCTTGTAACGAATATACTCAGAAATCCTGGACCGATTTCAGACATAGGATAAAGACAATTACAATACGGCAGTGTTGCCATAATATTAATGTTGGTTACCAACAAAAACCATTACAATACAACTTTATATTAACAACAAATTTTTATAAACAAAATATAGCTCAGATTATTGATACTGATAATGAAGCTACTGATTATATATGTGAAAGTTTTTTTTAAACTGGTGTCGATCTTTTTGAGCTTATTAATTTTAATTATAGTATAGATCTATGGTAATGTTAATAATTATAATTTTGCTCTAATTACTTATTACATAATTTTAAACTAGATCTTTTCGCAAAATGTCAATAAGAGATCAAATAATACCATCAAACTTGTATTTTAAACTCGTAAAAACTTCCGACAAGTTTCAAGAGAGATCGAGCGCCCGTTTAATATTTAATATGCCAGATATCTTTTAACTATATAGGGATTGTAGATTTAAAGTAGGAAATAATGGGACAAGGAAGTAGATTTTTTTTTTTCATCAAATTATATGCAAAGATTTGTTATTTTTATATGATTATTAAGTCCAATGCGCAGTGCAGAACGATCTTAGAGATTACATTTGCACTATTTGTAACTAAAACGATACTCCCCCGAATAACAGTAATATAATATTAACATCTCACTTTATCTACTGCATATGTCTTTCAGTAAAAACTTACGAACGATACGACAGCTATTTAATATTGCTCATTTTTGCAATGTGATATATGTATTCTGTTATAGATATAATTATATTATTGTCTACGGGGCGCTGGAATTGTGGTAGAAAGTTAACGCCACCCATTGGTAATGATATTATGTTCCTTGGCGGGTGGATAGTCATGGTTAAAATTTGTCCCATGTTTATAAAGAAGATATATTTGTGCTTTATTTCTCTAGTCGCCTTTCTATGTGAAATGGGAATGAAAACAAAGTATCGTTTCAATTCGCCCTCGTACACCCTAGTATTCTTTTAATTAAATACTTTTTTAATAGTCGGTTGCAAAATCGGGACAAAGTACAAATAAAAATAAAACGTGGTTACCATACGACTAGATCTACTTAATTATTCAGCTTAATGACTGGTGAGTTTGATGTAAATACTTCGTTAAACTCAAAGCAATAATTTTAAGTAATTCAATATTCCTTCAGTTTGTATGAATACGGTTATGCACTTCCGAAGAAAAACGTCGACACGTAATAAAGTCTTAGTAACCCCCAAGTAAATACAAAACTAATAAATTAAAAATACAAAGAAGCCAAGATCACATAGCGCCATTTATTCCCAAGCTGTGCAGATCGTGTATTAATGGTACTAAACAGCTAATATAAATACTTAGATATTTTTTAAATACGTATCTAATATAGATAGTAATCATCTAGACCAATAAAAACAATATTCATATTTGCATAGTGCTAGGAAGCGCGACCATCGGAAATAAAGCGGTGTGTTAAACCGTTAGACCACCGAGACTTTATATTTATAGGAACTAATTTGTAACTTAAAACTATTTTTAATATGTCAGCTATACAAAAAATTTCATGAAAATCGGTCCATTGGTTTAGAAACTGCAATGGCATAGACATACACACAGATATTCACATACTTCAAACTGATATCAACTCTCTTTTTCTGTCAGCTGGTTAAAGTAGTGACACTAAAATTACTTACTGCTTCTTGTATATACGAAATTTGCATCGGCATTTTTTAACCAAACACACAGTAATATAACTACTTTAGTCCAATCCATACTTAATAATAATGAGATAATACGTTAAAAATAAAAATAAATATCAACAAAGCTGTGGTTATACAGTATTAAGCACAGTTTTTAACTGAAGCAAATAAATTATACGATATAAACTTGTTATGTGGGCGGAGGTAGTATTGCCACTTGAAATTTTATAATACACTACCATCCTTTCCCGTTCTCGTCTGCTTTACTCCTAATAGATAGTTTATGTTTAACTAAATTAAACTAAATTAATATGTTTAACAAATAGTTTCTGGATTTGTGTAACCAACATAAATACATAAAAAATTAAAAAAGATGCCAAAAAGACTATAGGATTATGATATCATAGACACGTGTTCTTGCATGTTGATTTTCGTCGATAATTTCAAGCGGGAAAGTACACTTTCTACTTATCTTGACTCAGCTATTTTTAAAGATAAAATAAACGAAGGATTATCTTGTAAGTACATAATACATATATATATATTTACACTATCTCCAAGCGAACACATGAAAAAATAGAAATTTACATAGTTATAATATAATGTACATCAGGAGAAATTAACTAAAAATTTATTAAGATGGTTTCCATTGCTAGCTAGTCATCATTGCCCATCCTCCTAGACAATAGTATTAATGCAGATGACTTTGTACAAAGTCTATCTCAGTAAAAACATTAAATCAAATAGCTTTATTCTTGTAGGTCTATTACAGACTCTTACAATATGTCAAATCTACCGTCAGTTCGGATTGCTTTCGAGACGAGAAGGACTGACAAGAAACTCAGGTCGTATTCTTTTCAAATATTGTTTATAATAGTACAAATTTATTATAAAATTCAAATTTGGGAGAATAGAGTGATCACCAGCATAAGCTATTACAATTTTGTCAAAAGTTAGTGGAATCAGTGTTCGTAACCCGATCGACCAGTCAGCACCCGTTCACAAGTATGACGGATGAGCCAGCCGTCATTGCACTTAACCATATTAGAGGGAGCATGTTGACTTGGCCTACCACGCCGCCACATGTTTGAACTTTATAGCGAACATGTCTGCTTTGAGTTACTCCACTACGTCATTTATAGTATTTACATTTACAGTATAGGCTGTAACAATCACAGTTTTCACCTATTACAATATTTAATTTAATAATATTTTGTTATTTAATTCATTATTATACAGTATTAATATAAATATTATACATGGCCGGGATCACTTAACTGTAATTATCTGAGAGGAAACTATAGTGGAACTATCGGAGCGGACGCGAGATAACTGTATTGAGTTTGTCATTTAATGGAATGTTTTTGATACCACCCATAAATTTAAGTTTGTTTTACAATGAATAAAATAATAATAATCGGTTATTTATATTTAAAGATCTTTATTTATAATAATAACCTTGTAGAATTCACACAGCGCCATCCAATCCAAAATTAAGTAGAGCTTGTGTTGTGGTTACAAAACTAATATACCTGCATACTTAAATATATTTTTGTAAATACATACATAAGATAGATAAAAAATATCCAGACAAATACAAATACAATCGTGCGAGGAATCAAACCCACAGCTATCAGACGTATATTAGTGTGCTAAACAGCTAGGCCCTGACTAACAAACTCATTTAATGCGTTGTTTTGTCACGTTTTATAAAATGAAGAAAATAGTTTTAAAGGAAAAAAGCTTGACTGCATTTTCTATGAGGAGAACAAAAAAGAGTATATATTCATTCATTAATTTACAACATCACAGTACTTAAAATAAGATGTTAGACCTTTTTATGAATGAAGGGCTAGTTCAAAACTTGTATAATAATAATAATAATATAATATATAAACTTTATTGGGCAATAAAATACTTTTACATTTAATACACATTACGGCGAACCACACACTAGACATGCAAGTCTGTATCGTGTGTATACCATAGTAACATTTAATTTTTCCAATATATCACTGTTATAAATGCAATACTATGTATGTATGTAAATATGTTTGTTTGTTGTTTGTTTCTTATGTTTTCACAACGGAATGTAATGAACGGAAAAAAGATTCAAATGTCGTATAAAACATTTTCTCTGTAAAAATGCTTATAATAAATTTTAAGTTAGTAAATGACAATGTGTTTTTTGAACAAAAAACTTAAAATTAATATCGCTAACAATATTTTCTGATTGCACTAAGTATGAGTGCTTGTTATTAAGTAATTAGTTATTAAAAAAAACATTTATTCAAAAGAGCAACACACAAAGTTTCTTGCTCATCCTTCTTGTAATGACTCTACGTTCCGAATGAGTGGTAGAGTAAAAATATGATTCAAAAGTGCTTGTATTGAGTTTATTTGAATAAGGAGTATTTCTATTTCACTAAACCGCTGAACGGATCTTAATATTTGACATGGAGTATGAATCACGAGTACATGGGCTATCTTTTATCCCTAAAAAAATATTATTATATAGCGGATGAAAGCTCATGCAGACAAAATCGCCGGTAACAGCTAGTGGATAACACGATTACAAGAAATCGACAGCCAATTTCGATTCGAGGGAATTAGTTAATAGGTTCTCAATTTTAAACGAGGTTCGGTCCCTTGTCAGGCCTTAGATATATAAAACACGTCGATTTAATTACCATAATATTACGGTCGAAATTACCATCAAATGCTAATAATACTGGTACAATTCCAAGATCCAACGCGATTTGGAATGATCTTAGTGAAATGTAAATTGCGCGGCGTTAACGTACTGCGGTTGTTACTGGCAAATGACTATTATTGATGGTGATTCACTGTAGATTTATCTATAAGTAATAATAATATAATAATGACGCCCTTGGTGCTCTAGCGGTTTAGCACACCGCTATACTTCCGATGGTCGCCGGTTCGATTCCTCGCACGGTGCAAACATTTGTTTTCATAAGTATGACTATCTATATAAAATATATATCTATGTATTTATATCAGTTGTCTAGTACCCATAACACAAGCTCTGCTTACAGTGGGACTAGATGGCGCTGTGTTAATTGTCCAGGGTTATTTATTATTCAATTATCCAGGACAATTTATACAGCGCAATCTTATCCCAAACTTTTTTTAAATATATGCATAATGTGTATAGAAAATAATCAGACTATTTTTTTTTATAAAACTATGGTAGCGATCAAGCATAAGGCCATACCGTAAGCGGTTACCGTAGCCTATAGACGCCTAAAACACGAGGGGTGTCACATACAGTTTCTTAGGTGTCGGCCAGATTGAAATTCACGATTTTTGAGGTCTATGGCGCTGTGTAAAACACTAAGAAAGACTTAACATGACGCTCTTATTATCGTATGTACAAAATCTATTATAAATTTATAGTTTTCTTTGTTTCTTCGTTTGTATTTTATGTATTGTCACATTATTTGGTATACAATTATTCTTACGGGAAAGTAGAAAGAGAGTCATAGTACAATTAGCTTTTAATAAATAGATGGTCGGCAGATATACCGGAAAATATATTCGAAAGAATACTTCTGTATTTGTTCGGCGGCAGAAACATTTAGGTAGGTAGGTATAGCAACCGCTTTGTCGGGATATCTTAGTTTTTAGTGAGTTAGTCTCACAGTTCTTCCTTGCCTCCCCCAGGGCGGGGCGTTACGAGGGATGTTCTATAAGTAGAAAAAGGTAAGTGCCAGCCTACAGTACAAGTTTTTGTCTAAGAATATAATCGACATATGTTACGATAATTCGTAAGATATGTCGATTATATTCTTAGAGAATTTACCAAAATTTATTCACAGTGCTTAAATAATTAATTTTCGTATTTCTACTTCCGTATAACCACCTATAATAAGGATGAGATGCTGAAACCGGTAATGACAAAATACCTACTAAATCCCAACATTAACCAGTAATTAGCGTCAATCATAAAAGTAACGACTAAGCCGCGAGACAGGCCGTAAACTGTGTGCTTATTGCCTCCACTACCGGCGTCCGTTTTTACCCTACTTCAAGAAAGGAGGTTCTTATTTCGGCTGTATTTTTTATTTTATTGTATAATAAGTAAAATTAGTTAATACGTACTGTATAAAGTTTCGAATGTGTACATATAACACACTTTTAGTATCCACGATCCTACCTCCCAAGATGCCGTATCTATCTAACCTGGTTTCAAGACTACTGTTATTACAAATTCAATTCAAGTTCAAGTTCAAAACCTTTATTAATTGACACAAAATTATACAAACTAACAGAAAAATTTAATTAAAAGTTTAAAAGATAAAAGAAATGTTAGTTATATACAATGTTACCTTTAATTCTGCACATCAGTCTCAGAGTCAACGTGTCTTTTAGACACAAAGGCCTCCTCCAAATTAAAATAAAATTTAGCAAATAACTAGTGTAAACAATAACTAACTTATTCAAATAATGTATAAAAACTAGGGCAATATTAGAACAGTTATTGTAAGGTTAAGTCTAAATCTGTGTGTGACTAAATCGGTCGCTACACAAAAAAAGATTTTTTATTTCTGTTTCTAGCCTTTTAAATGTTATTTCATATTGTAGCACTAACATAAACTAATATTTAAATTTAAATTTAGAATGAATACAGTGTCCACCAATATATGCTTTTAAACTAATATCCTGAATAAAATAGTTTAAATAGAATAGGTCAATCTCATTAGCAACACTAAAGTATACCCCATTGCTGAGGTCGCGGGAGTGAGTTGCTATACCTACCTAATAACCTTAATAAATTAGTGCCCTCACAAGCAGCGCCCGTTCACACATTTACATAAACGATTACAATTCGGCAACTAAGTGAGAGAGCTCTCTAAGTGTAGAATTGTGACTGTTATTTTATGACATGTAAAGATTTAAAACCTTGGAGCAGTGCAATATAATCGTAAATAAGACTCACGTCGCGTGTCCCGGCGATATAAAATTCTCGGTTTTACGAGCACGATCTCGCATTGAATGTTAGGCGAATGCTGCCTTATTCCTTTGTGATGCACCATTACCTGGTCACAATTGTATTGTACCTATTATCTAGAATATAAATAATATTCTGCAATGATAACTAACGATATATGCGTGTATATTTGTAAT